CTCTTGGGCAAAGTGTCCATGAGAGGGGCTGGTGTGGTAAATGGATAAGCAATTTTAACAGTCATTAGCTGGAATGACCAGCCACCAAACCCAGGAGTTCCCAGGGAGTCTCGCTTTGCAGAAGGCTAAAGCAGGGGGAGGTTTTCAGTGTGAGCAAAGTGGTGGGTAGATGGCAGTTCGGTAGGCACATGGAGATAGGGAAATCTGGGAGATGGGATGTGATGCTTGGTTTGAGAAACCCTGGACCAGATCCTCACTAAGGCTCCTTTCATCTAAAAAATTCTACACTCCCCTCCTGGGAGCCAGGCTCAACGCTGGGCATATGCTGGATATGACACCAAAATTGGACCCCATCCCTGCCATGCCTGCAGGACCAGCCCATGCCCCATCCCTGCCCTCCCTACTGGACCAGCCATGTCCCACCCCTGCCCTGCCTGTAGGACCAGCCCATGCCCCACTCCTGCCTTCCCTGGAGGACCAGCCAATGGAGCTGGGACCCTGGGACATATCTTCTGTCCCATCTCAGGCCTCATTACAGGTGCTTCACAGACTTGGCCCCTCAGAGAACCCCCATGAGCGAGGTGTTATTGTGCCATCTTAAGGACAGGGAGCCTAGGCTCAGAGAGGTGCCCTAACTGCTTGAGCTCCCATCTTAAAGGTGTCATAGAACTGCAAAGGGAGCTCAGCCAGCCCAGGTTGGGGTCCCCCCACTCAAGCCAGGCTCCTCCCGGGTGTCCCCATGCAGCCCCCCCAACTGCAGGCTCTGGAGGTGGGCCACGCAGCTGATTTGTCACAGCATTCTCCATGCCAACAAGGCTGGACACGGCTGTGTTGCATCAGATGGACTCGTGTCTGAGGTGCTTTGTAAATTGCTGAACACGGCACCAGTTGGATTCATCAGAAGTGCCCACTCAGGTCCCCAGCATGATTGGGCAGTCTCCAAAACTCAACAAGTGCCCGATATCCACTTGGCCTTGCGCACACAAGGGATGAGTGAGGCAGGATGGCCAGTGCCCTCTGTCCATCTCCCAGGAAGTGCAAAAACACAAATCTGGAGACAGCCCAGGCCACAGTAGAAGGGGTGTTTGAAGGGCCACTCTGATGATCGCGCCCAGAGGGCCACATGTGTACCTCAGTATCACCTCCACCTGTCCCCTAAGTCTTAAGCCCATCTAAGAATATGGCGTTGAATGCCATCTGCATTCCAGACACATGTCCAGTGGCTTGGTCACTCGTGATATACACCAGGCAGCCAGATAGCAACTCGGGATGCTGCCTTATCTGTTCCACACCCCTCACGCTCCCACTACTCAGGCCAATGCCAAGAAGGAAGGAAGTGCAGAGGGACAGAGGAAGGAATCCCCAAGGTTTCTGTGGGATATAAGACAAATGCCCAGAAGACAAAAGCCTTCTCAGCCTCAGATTTTTAATATATAAATGGAGTTTCCATTCCACCTCAAAGTCCTGTGATGGAAACAAGGTAATCATCATAAAGTGCTTAGTTCAACAGGCAGCGTGTAGTCAGCGTTGAAAAAATGGCTCTTCCTTTCACTTCCCTTGCTTTAAGTCTCATTTAACCATTTAATAAACACCTATTATGAGCCCCCCACACACATTCCCCATGGTCAGAAAGACTGTAGCCTCCCAAAGAACTGGCTTCCACCTACTCATGGGGAAAGATTTGTCCTCACACTACAAGTATAGGAGAGAGCTTCCTCCCATTCCTGCCCATGTCCCCTTCCTGTGTGGCAAGATGCTGCTCAGTAACAGACTTCACCTTCTGAGCCCTAGTGTGACCAGCTGGCATGGCAACTTATCGACTTCAGTCCTAAAGAGTTTGAGCCTGAAACAAATGTTCATAGATCTTTTTCTAATCTGTGAGATTACTGAGGCAAGGACAAGAGCAGGGACCTGAAAAGTGCACCTCTATATGTCCAGCCCTAGCCCAGGGCCAACTTGTAGTAGGTGCTCAGTAAATGGGTGGATGGGTGCATGCATGGATGGATGGATGGGTGGAGGGATGGATGGATGGATGGATGGATGCATAGATGGATGGATGCCTGGATGGATGGATACATGCATGAATGGGTGATGGATGCATACATGGGTGAATGGGTGGATGAATGGATGCATGGATAGGTGGATGAGGGATGGATGGATGATGGATGGATGCATGAATGGATGACTGCATGATGGATTGATGGATGGATGGATGCATGATGGATGGATGGGTGATGGATTGATGGATGCATGGGTGATGGATGGATGGATGGATGGATTGGTGGATGCATGGATGGATGGATGGATGGATGGGTGAAAGGGTGCATGGATGGGCAGATGGATGGATGCATACATGCATGGATGGATAGATGCATGGGTGGGTAGAAGCATGGGTTGGTGGATGGATTGATGGATGCATGGATGGATGGGTGATGGGTGGATGGATGCATGGGTGGATGTGTGCATTGGATGAACGGATGCATGGATACACAGGTGGATGGATTCATGGGTGAATGGATGGATGGCTGGATGGATGATGGATGGATGAATGGGTGATAGATGGAAGCATGGATGGATGGATGGGTGATGGATGGATGAATGATGCATGGATGAATGGAGGGATGGACGATGGATGGATGGATAGGTGATGGATGGATGAATAGATGCATAGGTGGATGGATGCATTGATGGATGCATGGATGGATGGATGGGTGGGTGGGTGGATGGATGGATGGTGGATGGATGGATGGGTGGATGGACTAATGTGTGGTGGATACGTGAATGCATGGATGGATGGATGGGTGATGAGTGGATGGATGGATGGGTGGATTGATGGATAGATGCAAAGATAGATAGATAATGGGTAATGGATGGATAGATGGTGAATAGGTCGTTATGTTGTGCGTGGCCTCCTCACTAGCCTGCGCACTCCTAGAGCACAGAGGCTGTGTCTTGTTTATCTCTGAGCCCTCAATCCCTGGCAAATAGTGAGTGCTCTGATTTTTGTTGTACACACAGCAAGTTGACAGAGACATGACCTAGGACAGGTGGCATCCAGCACAGTGAATGCAGCACCAGGGTGGAGAGCAATGCTGACAGAGTGGGCGAATGAACGGGTGGATGTCCCTCAAAGGCGAGGCTTTCAGACGGTAACCCTGAGCAGCAGCCTTTGCCCTGTCATTGCTGGCTCTTCAGCACGGAGAGGACAAGCACTGCATAAATTCAAGGCAGAATTGGTGCCAGTGTAATTATTGGAACATCCAGAGAAGCGTCCAAGGGGGCAAGTGAGGCTTTCCACCCCCAGCCAGCTCCATGCAGGTGGACAGTCTGTGAGAGCACAGGGGAGAGCCTTGGACAAAGGGGCCAGGACAGGTGTAGCCTCCAGCTGAGAGCCTGGACTGAGGGAGGGGCAGCCGTCCGCCTCCTCCCTACCACTATCCCTTCGCCACATTATTTCATGCACAATGCTGTGCAGAGCCAGGAGCAACTGTGTGGTGAGATGTTGCTTTGGGAGTGGCAGAACCTGGGTTGTGGATCTTGCTCTGTTAGCTCTATGACCTTTAATCTATTTTCACCTGTCCGGTCCTTGGTTTCCTCATCTGTAAAATGGGCATAACCAAATCACTTAGGATCATTCGAGGTAAGTGACATAAGGCAACTAGAGCACCTAGGACATTCCCTGTACCTGAGCAGCTGCTACTAAATGGAGCTATTAAATGAGTTCAGGTGACACGCGATGTGCAGCACAGACTCAGGACCTGGCTCTGCTTCTAAGGACAGAAGCTTCCTCCCTCCCCTCCTGCTCAGTTAAAGACTTCATCCAGCAGGGCAGTGAAACAGGGGAGAGGAGTCGGGCAGGGAAGGGGTGTGGGTGGGTGGAGGGTGGAGTGGGAGAACCACAGCCCCAGCCTGAGCGTCCTGACCCAGGAGCCCACAGGGAAGCTGCAGTGTCTCCTTCATCTCTGTCCCAGGGCCACGGCAGGGCATGTACACGGTACGTTCATCCCACTGGGCTCTTAGAGGTATCTATGGAACTCGGCCACTTGGCCAAACTCCCAGATTTATATCGCGGCTTCTCTGAAGCTGGGAGCACCCCCAAGGGAGGCGGAGTCCCGTAAGAGATGGGGCATCTGGGGCGCGTGACATTAGAAGGCCTTGGTTGTGAGCAGGGCAGTGTGTGGGGTCTGAGGAGAGCATGCATTTTGGGGGCTGAGCAGACCTGAGCAGGAGCCTGAGACTGTCCTGGTCTGAGCCGTGTTGCCTTGGGCAAGTCACAGAGCCATCCTGATCCTAGTGGGGTCACCTGTGAATGCAGATGAAGACACCTGCCTCACAATGCGTGGTCCAGGCCCGTGTGTGAGGACAGCCTGGCGCAAACTGTCAAGTGCTGGGGTAGCAGGTGCATTCCTCTCGCTGGAGCCTTTGCTACCTCAGGAAAGGATCCAGGCAAGTCCCTAGAGGCAGCACTAGGCAAGGCGCGATGACAGAGAATCTTCCCAAGGGCACACTCCACCAGGTGATGGGGAGCAGGAGGCGGAGCCGCCGCTCAGGTGAGCCTGGCTCGACTCCCAGGGCAGCCTTTTCCACGGTGTGGCTCTGGGAGAGTCATTTTGCTTCTCTGAGCCACAGTTTCCCTATTGATGAAATTAGGATAGGGTGGGAGTCCCAGGCCTGCCTGCCTCCTGCGGTCATTTTAGATGATCAAAATAAAACACACAACAATGAAAAAACAATGCAAACGTATTGTATGAAGGAGAAAGTCTTGTACAAACACTACCGTGAGAGGAAGAAAGCCAACTCCCTCAGCCCACGCAAGGAAGACCCAGATACCCTAGCCCAGGAGCAGGTGGGCTCCCGAGGCGGTGGTGACCTGTAGACCCACAGAGCAAGGGTGGCTTCAGACCCAGGGAGGCCACATGGCCGCGTAGGGTGCGGGGAACTTCTGGGGGACAGGCACGGTGACTCCATTCCCGACCCCAGCCTCGGCTCTTCTTTTCCAGGGCTGTGTCTGGGGTGGACGCTGACCCTGACTTGGTCCATGTGGAAGCCCAGGACCTCAGTGGAGGTAAGCTGGGCAGTAGGCCTGGGCACCGAGTATTCCTGAGTCATCTTGTGCTCGACACAGCTCAGCGGTGCCTGTGTTCAGTCACTCGTCCCCAGTGGCTGGCCCTACACAGCTGGCCTCACCGCGTCTCAATGTGGCCTGATTTTAAATGTGCTTGTTTTCCAGCTGGGCATGAATCGAAGTCAAGGAGCTCCACTCCAGTGGAAAAGTCTATTAAGAGGGCAATTTGTTCTGGCCCCTGAGCATTGAGTGTTTTCCACTAACTCAGCCCCCAGCCCCAGCATGTGCTAAGTGTGGAGATGGTGGGGCTGGGGTGAGCCCAGGCCTGCCCACCCGGATCCAGCCGGCTTCCTGCTGTGTGACAGGAGGGTGCTCTGAGGAGGGCAGAGCAGCAGAGTCCCTGCAGACACATCTTTGTGCAGCATCACCCAAGCCAGGATGTGTCCCCATTAGAACAGAAATGCAGGCGTCAGCTCCCAGCCCTGCCGTCAGCCAACCTCAGGGCCCAGGGCCAGTCACCTCAGTCTCCTGGTCTGTGAGATGAATAGTGATATGAAATGTGTGAATGTAGGGTCGTCACAGCCAAGTTTTGGGGGGCAGGGTCAGTTGTTGGGTGTGCCCCCCCACCTCCATGTCCCCACCCCCTACCCCACCACCCTTGGGCAGGTAGGGCCGGCATTATTACCGTTCTGTGTTGATAACCAGGATAACAAAGCTCAGGGGCCGTCCAGGTTTGCCTGGGGTCACAAGGTCCCAGGTGGTGCCCCTCTCCCCACCCCTGCTGGGAATGCAGCTTCCTTTTGGAATTTCTTACCTTTGACCTCATGCACCCTGCCAGCCACCTGTGCTGGGCTCCCCCATCACAGCTCTGCACACTCCCCGAGGTCTGGAGCTCCTTGAGTACCAGTGGGGGCTACTGATCACCTGTGTCCCCAGTAAGTCTGCTGAATGAATAAGCACCTAGCCAGATGCCCAAGTTGCCCCTGGGGAGCCCACTGGGCAAAATACTGCAAAATAACATGGTGACAAATAGAAAAACTCTCAACCTGCGTCACACCACGCTGTCAGGGTCGGCTGTCTGCCCTTTCCAGAGCTTCAGCTGGCCCTGGCTCATGGGCACCTGCTGCCCACAGCCCTTCTCAACTCCATGGCCACTAATTTCATCTAGGTGGCTCCTGCATGGCCATGTAGGAGTGTTTATAACAGAAATTGGCAAGTGCTATCATCAGGGCTCCTATACCCGGCACACAACCCATCAGCCTAGAGGTCGCCTTGGTCTGTTGTGTTGGCTCTTGGCTCTAGGCCTAGAACACTGAGAGCCTGACTGCGGTGGGATGGATAAATGAGTGAGTGGTTGAGGGAATGAATTAATGAATAGGTGAGTGAGTGAGTGAATGAGTGAATAGATGAGTGAGTGAGGGAATGACAGCGAGTGAGTGAGTGAATGAGTGATTGATTGAATGAGTGAGTGGGCAAATGAGTGAATGAGCAAGTGAGTGAATGAGTGAGTGGGTGAGTGGGTGAGTGAGTGAGTGAATGAGTGAGTGAACAAGTGAGTGGGTGAGTGAGTGAGTGAATGAGTGAGTGAGTGGGTGAGTGAATGAGTGAGTGAATGAGTGAGTGGGCAAATGAGTGAATGAGCAAGTGAGTGAGTGAGTGGGTAAATGAGTGAATGAGCAAGTGAGTGAGTGAGTGAATGAGTGAGTGGGTGAGTGGGTGAGTGAATGAGTGAGTGAGTGAATGAGTGAGTGAATGAGTGAGTGGGTGAATGGGTGAGTGGGTGAGTGAATGAGTGAGTGGGCAAATGAGTGAATGAGCAAGTGAGTGAGTGAGTGGGTGAGTGGGTGAGTGAGTGAGTGAATGAGTGAGTGAACAAGTGAGTGGGTGAGTGAGTGAGTGAATGAGTGAGTGAGTGGGTGAGTGAATGAGTGAGTGAATGAGTGAGTGGGCAAATGAGTGAATGAGCAAGTGAGTGAGTGAGTGGGTGAGTGGGTGAGTGAGTGAGTGAATGAGTGAGTGAACAAGTGAGTGGGTGAGTGAGTGAGTGAATGAGTGAGTGAGTGGGTGAGTGAATGAGTGAGTGAATGAGTGAGTGGGCAAATGAGTGAATGAGCAAGTGAGTGAGTGAGTGGGTAAATGAGTGAATGAGCAAGTGAGTGAGTGAGTGAATGAGTGAGTGGGTGAGTGGGTGAGTGAATGAGTGAGTGAGTGAATGAGTGAGTGAATGAGTGAGTGGGTGAATGGGTGAGTGGGTGAGTGAATGAGTGAGTGGGCAAATGAGTGAATGAGCAAGTGAGTGAATGAGTGAGTGAATGAGTGAATGGGTGAGTGAGTGAGTGAGTGAGTGGGTGAGTGGGTGAGTGAATGAGTGAGTGGATGAGTGAATGAGTGAGTGGGTGAGAGAATGAGTGAGTGAGTGAGTAGGTGAATGAGTGAGTGAGTGAATGAGTAAGTGAATGAGTGAGTGAGTGAGTTAGTGAGTGAATGAGTGAGTGAGTAGGTGAATGAGTGAGTGAATAGTGAGTGAGTAGGTGAATGAGTGAGTGAATGAGTAAGTGAATGAGTGAGTGAATGAGTGAGTGAGTCATTGAGTGAATGAGTGAATGAGTGAGTGAGTGAGTAGGTGAATGAGTGAGTGAGTGAATAAGTGAATGAGTAAGTGAATGAGTGAGTGAGTGAGTGAGTGAATGAGTGAGAGAATGAGTGAGTGAGTAGGTGAATGAGTGAGTGAATGAGTGAGTGAGTAGGTGAATGAGTGAGTGAATGAGTAAGTGAATGAGTGAATGAGTGAGTGAGTGAGTTATTGAGTGAGTGAGTGAGTTATTGAGTGAATGAGTGAATGAGTGAGTGAGTGAGTAGGTGAATGAGTGAGTGAGTGAATGAGTGAGTGAGTGAGTGAATAAGTGAATGAGTAAGTGAATGAGTGAGTAGGTGAATGAGTGAGTGAGTGAATAGGTGAATGAGTGAGTGAAGTGAGTGAGTAGGTGAATGAGTGAGTGAATGAGTAGGTGAATGAGTGAGTGAGTGAGTGAGTGAGTAGGTGAGTTAGTGAGTGAATGAGCGAATGAGTGAGTAGGTGAATGAGTTAGTGAGTGAATGAGTGGGTGAGTGAGTGAATGAGTGAGTGAGTGAGAAACCTGGGGCTGAGTTTAGGGGTGGGCCTTTCTGCTTCCTAAACCCCTTCCCTTAACCATTCTCCACGCTGCTGGGTCACCCAGGGCCAGGGGCAGGAGGAGGAAGAGGAGGAGGCGGGGTGCCCTTCCTTCGGTCCCTGTGGGTGTGTCTTGCTCCTGGCTCACAAGCTGGAACGCAGGGCTTCCTGAGGCCTCCAGGCTCCAGCCCCTCCACGTAAATGTGTCCCAGGGAAACAGAAGGATTTAAAACAAAATTAGCAGCTACCTGACAAAGCATGCATTCAATATTGCTCAGCCATAAATATCTGGAAAAGGGTAGAAACGTTTGCTTAAAATTTGCAGGAAAGAACCCTTGAGCACCCCCCACCCCCACCCCCACTTAGGTGTGAGGGACTTCAGGAGGGTGCGGGCCATGCGTGTCTGGGCGCGGTGAGGTGCCCACCATCACCTATGCTGACCCCTCCTGCAGGGGATGGCAGGCCCCAAAGCAGCACGAGCACCTTCCCGAGGGTGGCAGGAGCTTGTGTCAGAGCGCGTGGCCCACAGTGAGTGAGGATGACACTCCCAGCCGCAGGTGTCATTGCAGTGGCCTTTGGAATTCAAGCCCACAGAGGCCCATCGCAGTGGTCCTGGAGAAGAACGGAGCCCGGCACATATGTCCCGGGCTGTCCCGGCCCCTGCTGCAGCCTGACTGCCTGGGCCCGCGCCTGTCTCCTGCAGATTTTCGGTACCTCACCTGCCCAATCCACAACTGCTCTGAGAAGACGCTGACGGCCCCGTTCGCAGGCCCCATTGACCAGGGCTCTCTGACCGTGCAGGACGATTACATCTTCTTTAAGGTGAGGCTGCTTTGGGGCTGCTGGAAATTGGCAAAAGGCGACGTGGTGGATGTGCCACTCGCGGCAAAAATGGAATCACTCAGAAAAGAGGCGATAAAATGGGTATTTCACTTTCAAGTGCTACTTCCCAGGTCACGGTGTCTGAGCGTGGCTGTGTCTGCAGGCATCCACGTAAGCCCCTGCAAACCCAGAACTGTGGCTGAGGGACACGGGCTCCACCTCCCTTCTGGCCACCATGAACCTCCCAGCCACTCGGGGTCCCCAGACCTAAAGCCACTTAGCCCCGCTTGGTTTTACCAGTGACTGGAACTGGCCAGCACTGCTTCTGGTCACAGCTCTTGGCCACCAGGCACCGGCTGTCCACGTCCCTGTGACCAGGACCCTGCCGCCTGTGCCCTCAGGTCACGAGAGGACCCAGCCTCGGCAGCCACTTGGTCCCAGCTAATTCAGAAACTCTAGCACACCGGCGTTCCATCCAGCTTTTCATCACCTTCATGGATGGGGAGCCCAGCCCTCCCAAAACAGCCTAGCCCTCTGCTGAGTGGCCCCAGTCACTGGCCTGAGACAGGGTCTGCTTCGTCGGACTCCCATCCACTGGGTTCTGTTCTGCCCTCTGGGACCCCTGACACAAGTCCAAAGTTTCCCCTGAGAAAACCCCTTGAGGGCACCTGCTGGGTGCCCTCTCCCCAGAAGGCCCTTGGTGCTCCCCAGCCTGCTCCTTGCCCTGTCTCAGCCACACTTGGTCACCCCAGCTCCTGACTCTACACTCAATGTATGCCAAGGGCCACCACGGAGTTAGGGGCTGGAGCAGGCAGTGGGCGTCCCAGCCCCTGCATTCCAGCAGGCCAGGCAAGAGGCTGCTGCCACCACCGGCCCTGACCTCCAGCCCTGCCCAGTCTCCACTGCCCTCTGCTGAGCCCCAGCCCCTGACTTTTGATGCCCAGTCCATGCATTTGCTTGCACTGTTCCCTGTACTGGGCCTTGCTTCTCTGCTGGCTGATTCCTTCTCCTTCTTAAAGACTCAATCATGTACCTCCTCCTCCAGGAAGTCTTCTCAGACTTCTGCCTCCAGTTCAGGCTCATTGGTGCCTCCTCTGAGGACCTTCAGCCTTGTGCCTTCCTCCTTCACAGCCCTGGCCCCAGTTTGTCATTCTGTGCCATTTACTCCTTTTGTCCCTACGCCTGTCTCAGGCAAGCCAAGTCTGGGCTCTAGGTCTGAACCCAGCCCCGAATTTCCTAGCTCCTAGCATTGCATTTCTGCAGATGTCCACTAAGTACTGGAATGAAGACAAGGTCAGCTCTCTGGGCAACCATCTCCCATGGTGAGTGGTTTCTAAACATTAGCCGGGCTGGCCTGTCAAAGCTCTGAGGCCTAAGACCCTTGGAGCTCCCCTACGGCTGAGCAAGCTGGGTCATCACTCAGTGCAGCAAGGGGCAACACACAACCTGGGCATCTCAGAGGGGTTAGAAGGGCCTGATTGCTGGGCGTGGGCCGCAGGAGGTGATCTGAGGGGCCCTGGAGGAAGTCAGGAGTGACTCTGGATTGGGGGATGTGGGTCATACCAGGATTCGGTGTCTCAGTGAATCTTCTCTAGAGGGAGGGGTGACTCGGGGGAGGCGGGAGACTGGGGGGGGGGCGGGAGACTCGGGGGACGGGGGAGACTCGGGGGACGCTGGAGCTGGAGAGTGAAGCAGCAGCCCTCGCTTATTTCAGCCAAGGTGGGGTGTCTGTGCATCCTGGGGATTTGAACAACATTCACATCTGCTCTGCGTTCAGACCCAGTTGCGAGGTGGTCTCATTCCGCGCAAGGTCACAGAGAGCTTGTCTGGTGCTGGCGCTCGGCCATTGTTTGTGAGGGGCCACCGGCTCCATCCAGTTTCTGTCCTGGTTTCCATCTTTCTCAACAACTGCAGAGGAAAGCTCTCCCTACCCCAGCCCAGGCCTCCCCTGCCCTCTCCCTTCCTCCCCCCTTCCACCCGGTCAAAGCTCTGAAGCCTAAGACCCTTGGAGTCTTAGAGACTCGGGTGGCGGGGGGGGCGGGTGACTCAGAGGATCTGGGAGCCTGTGCTGGGACAGGAGAAACCTCAGCTCTTCCAGCCCCACCTCGCCACCAAGGTAGCGGGGCTGGTGGCTCAGGAGGCTGTGCCTCCTGTTCCGTGGCAGCAAGGATCCGTGGCCTCTGTGATCAGACACCTGAGAACAGTCCTGCCCCTATGTGCCTTTCCGACTCTGGGACAGATGCCCATGGCCACAGCTCATGGGGATGATGGTTATGGGATCGAATGAGCTGCCCCGGGAAAAGCACCTGGGGTGCTGCCAGCTTTGTTTGTCATGCCTCGAAGTTCGGTGGTGATCTTTCCTGACAGGCTCATCTTTGGGCTGTCTTCCTTCTCCGTCAGAACTGTCTCCACCTTGTTCCGTAAGTTGGATGCAGAGAAACAAGGTGCTGAGGGTACAGGGGGAAAGAGGTTAGTTAGTTCTGACTGAAGGAAGCAGAGCACAACTGCCCTCCCAGAGGAGGGATGCTAATGTGGGGCTTTGAAGGATGAATAGGAGTCTGCTCATTTCAAGCAGAACAGGTATAAGCAAATTAAAGGACATTTTCACCTGCCGAATATAATATGTAGTTTTTCATTCATTAGAATCTGGCTGCAGAGGGCATCAAGCCTCTGAAAAATGTGTTTCTTCCCCTGGTTAGGCAACATCAGCAAACCGGACGAAATACTATGTTTCTTATCGTCGCAACGAATTTGTCCTGATGAAGCTGCCGAAGTACGCGTTGCCGAAGGTAAGGTGCTCCCCACGCTGCCGGCCGCCTGGCCCTGAGGCCGGACCCTAAGCCCATCCCGACTCGTGGGGCAAAGGACTCACGCACAGGTGCCTGGTGGTCCCAGGTCAGGATGGACGGGAACAGAGTGGCCACGCTTCCTCCAGCCCCTCGCCCCTCACACCCGCCATTCCAGCCCGCCCAGCCCTTCCAGCCTCACCCTAGGCCTCTTCCTTCTTCCTGGTTCATCTTTGCCCAGAACTCTTGCACATGGGGTATTTCATGAGAAACATCACTTGCTAACGGCCCCCAGGTGGGCCCGGGCCTCTGTTTTCTGGTCCCGTCCCGCCCTTCTCCTTGCTGGTGCTCGGAGTACAGGGACCGCTCCCTCCAGTGTGCCTCTCCTGCTCTCCTCTGGCGTTGCTGGGGTGCAGATGACCTCTGCCGTACTCACCTCTGCATGCCAGCCGCCCGGTGTGCCGCCTGCATATAGTAGATGCTCCGTGAATGCTTTTGCCTTTCCCTTGCCTCGGCAGTCAAAGGCGGCGAGCCAGGGGAGCTGGGGACTGCTCCTGGCTCAAGGCCTCTCTCCACCCTGTTAATACGTTATTCTCACTTAACAGAGGAGGTGATGGAAGTTCAGAGAGCCAGTAACCTGTCTGAGGTCACACAGCTAGCTAGAAACAAAGATCTGAAACCGAGGTGCGGGCGAGTCCACCCAGCCTCATGCCACACCTCCCTCCTGAGGACCCCGGGATGAGGCCTTCTAAAGATCTCTGTCCCACACGCGTCATTGGGAACCAGAGGAGTCTTCCCTTCCTCCACACCTACTTGCTGAGCACCAGATAGAAGCCAGAACCCGGGCTAGGAGGCCGGGCCGCAGCTGGGTCAGAAGCTCCAGGTTCCTGCTCCGGTGGGCTTTGTGCTCGGAAGGGAGCAAGAAGCAGAGACAGAGAGTGATGGAGGCGTGTGTGTGAGTGTGTCTGTGCGCGTGTGGATGTGTGTGCTCGTGTGCTTGTGTGTGTGGCTGATTTAGGCCAGGCAGCTATGGGGGCCCCTCTGGAGCTGGGAGTGGGAGGGACTCTTTATCCGAAGCCCCGGGGCAGCTCTGAGAAGAGCAGGGGAGCAAGTGGCTCGGGTGGGGCCGAGAGCGCGCGTGGGGTGGGAGGGGCCCGCGGCTCCGGCCCTCCACGCCCAGGCCGTGGCTTGCTGTAAAGTGCTTGGGCACAGGAGCTCCTACGTGAGGCACCCTCAGACCCTTTCTGAGCCAGAAATGGGAAAAGTCTAGGAGGCCTTTTAAAAGCTTCTCTTGAAAAACAAGGAAAAATAGGCCGGGCGCGGTGGCTCAAGCCTGTAATCCCAGCACTTTGGGAGGCCGAGGCGGGTGGATCACAAGGTCGAGAGATCGAGACCAACCTGGTCAACATGGTGAAACCCCGTCTCTACTAAAAATACAAAAAATTCGCTGGGCATGGTGGCGCGTGCCTTTAGTCCCAGCTACTCAGGAGGCTGAGGCAGGAGAATTGCCTGAACCCAGGAGGCGGAGGTTGCGGTGAGCCGAGATCGCGCCATTGCACTCCAGCCTGGGTAACAAGAGCGAAACTCCGTCTCAAAAAAAAAAAAAAAAAAAAAAACAAGGAAAAATAAAAAAAGGAAAAGACAGAAAAGAGAAGAAGGAAGGAGCTTAATAGACTGAACTCAGGCTTGGCTGAGTATGTAAATTAAAAGCTAATGGTTTCATTTTAGGCAAAGGCAGTGGGTGTCCCTGGAGGGTGAGGGACCTTTTCAGCATCTGGAAAGTCTTCCCTAAACCTTCGGGGGCTACAGCATTAGAAGTTTCTGTGTCCTGGGCTCTTTGTCCTGGTGTCGGGGAGAGGAAAGTGTACAGCCCAGAATTAGGCCCATATAGGGACCCTCTCTGCTCCCCTCTGGCATTGGGGAGTCAAAGGAGCCTATGGCTATAAGTCATGGCCTCTGTGACCTCGAGCGATGGCCCCCGGCCCTCAGCTCCCTGGACCTGCAGATGAGATGTCAGTGAGATCTGCAGGAAGCACCAGGCCGTGTCTCCTGCTGCTGACCCTTGGCAGCGGGCATTACACACGGGTCGTCTTCTTCCCCCTATTCCCACGGAAACTGGAGGTCATTGAAAAGAATCAAGAGGCTCTCACAGCAGTGACAGACACACATCCGGCCTCTTGTTATTCAGTTTCAAGGGAGGACCAAGGACCCATCCAGGGCAGGTGGCATGTGCTGCGACTGTCAGTGTCCTACCTGCAGGGACCGTGCACAGGACCCAGTAACCAGGAGCTGGAGATATGGTCACTTCATCATCAAGAAGTGGGCAGACTGGGCTGCTGTCAGGAGAACGAGGCTCCCCAGCCCCACAGGGTCTTCCAGACCACGTCTCCTGTTGCTGAGACCTTTGCCCAGCCAGCCAGCCTCTTCCTCTCCACCCCGGTCAGGACAGCAGCTCGCCCAGTGTTCCCCATCAACGTACTGTCGCAGGGGCCAACTGAATTTCCCCCCCAGATGCTGTGGTTTTATGGTGAATTTGTGACTCGCCTGTTTCCTCTTCCCACAGAGTCAACCCCCTCCTGTGTTTCTTTTTATATTTTTAATTGTTTAATTAACATTTTGAAAATAATCGACATTGGAGCAGGGAGGCTCACCCACAAACTTTTCACCCGGTTCATCTGGTCCATCCAGTATTTCCCCTGACTTCTTGGTCTCCCTGCTTTCCTTAGCCGTCGGCCAGAAGGCTTTTACGTAGCTGGATTACAAGCAGTCGTGGGTCTCGAGTCTGCTTTCACAGGACACTGTAGCATGAGACCGTTTCTTGAACGATACGTGATATTTACTTTAAATGACTGGAAGCTTTCTGTTGAGGAGGCTGTACCTTGTTGAGCTAAGCCAGACTCTCGTTGCTTGGACATTGGGGTTATAAACGGTGCTGCAACAAATCTGTGTGTGCCTGCAGGTACTTCTTTTTAATTTTCTCAAGGTGAAGTCTAAGAAAAGCTTCAGAACAAAAGACATAAATATTTGTGTAGCTTAGTTGGTTCCTAAAAGAGTGCCACCCTGTCACCAGCGAAGTTGGAATGGATCAGCTTCAGCATAGCTTTGCCATTTTTTTTCTATTTTTCCTCTACGTGAAAGGGTATAAATGCTACCGACCTGCTGCTTTAATTTACCTGTCTGTGAAAACTATGCAGGGTGGGCCGTTTTTATATTTGTCAATATCCTTTGCTTCTTATTTGTCGTCATGCTGTTTTTAAAACGTAGCTTCCCTGACACAGGTGAATGATAGGCCAAAGCTATAAACAGACAAAAGAAAAGAAAAATCCAAATAACTATCAATTATTTGAAAGCATTCAGAAGAATGAGTAAATGCAAATTTAAAGTGAAATATTCCTGTATTTGCCATAAATGTATTTAAAGTTAAATAAAATTTCTAAACCATATGAATAAAGAAGGAGGTGACATCAGGTTAGGTGGCAGAACAGAAGCCCCGGGAATCCATCTCCCCACCTAGACAGCAACCACACTGGCAGGACCTATCTGGTGTAACTGCTTTGGAATTCCCAAGTCTATTTGAGAGCTTGCAGTCTCCAGGACAAGGCATGGATGGTATGTCAAAGTCAGTTTGGATAATGTCAGCTCTTAGCCTGGTAGAGGCTTCCCGCACCCCAGCACCATGACAGGGAAATGTGCATGTGTCCCTAGAGCAGCGTGCACAGAGCTTGAAGGAGCTGCAGGAGCCCAGGGGTGCCTTATGGACCTCGTCTTCCAAATACTGAGGATCTGTGCTCTGATTACTGACTGCTTCTGATGACAGACGTGCAGACGCCCAGACAGGCAGCCACTGTTGCAAACACCATGAGTTGAAACGGCTTCCAGGAGATCAAAAGAGTCACAGCCTGTTTTTCCTGTCTTTTATTTTTCTCCCTTTTCCTTTTTGGAAGCCAGACATTCAAAAGCAACTGTAAATATGGGAGAATTTAGAAAATCACCGTGCATGCCCAGGGACAAGCAGAGGCTCAGAAAAGGCCCAGGAAGACATTAAGCTGACAAGTAAGGCTGATCCTTGGTAAAGAGATAGCCTACAACCATCAAAAATAAGAACAAAACATGGCAAGCGCTATGGAAAGGGGGCAAGCTAATTTCCGGAGTTACTATATTATTAATATTCAATATAATCGGACATTAGGCTCAACTGTCCAGCTTTTGACATAAAGTAGTTACGAGGCATGCAAAGAAACAGGCAAGTATGATGCATTCAAAGGAACAAAAATAAATGAACAGAAACCTTCCCTGAGAAAGACCAGAAGGCAGATCTACTAGACAAAGACTTTAATATGACTGTCTTAAAGAGGCTCAAAGAACTAAAGAGAAAAATAGAGAAAAGCAAGAAAATGATGGATGGGCAAAACAGAAACAGCAATAAAGAGATAGAAACAAAAAAAGGAACCAAAAGAAATTCTGGAGCTAAAAAGAAGAAAAAGAAAAATTTACTAAAGGGATTTGAAAGCAGATTTGAAAGGCAGAAGAAGGAATCTGGAAACTTAAAGGCAAGACGATTAAAATGATCAAGGCTGAGCAACAGAAAGAATAAAGATTGAAAGTGAAACATAGTCTATGGAAGCTTTTGGACATCATCAAGCGGACCAACATATGATTGTGGGAGTCCCAGAAGGAACACAAGAGAGATAAAGGCAGAGAGACTATGTTTGAAGAAATCATGGCCCCAAACTCCCCCATTGATTTATATTGATGAAAGACATGAATATCAAAAAGTTCAACAAACTCTAAGAAAGGTAAACACAAAGAGACCCACACCAAGACACACAACCGAATTGTCAAAAGACAGAAACTTTTTTGTGTGTGTGTGGAGACAGAGTCTCGCTCTGTCACCCAGGCCGGGGTTCAGTGTTGCAATCTCAGCTCATTGCAACCTCCACCTCCTGGGTTCAAGTGATTCTCCTGCCTCAACCTCCCGAGTAGTTGGGATTACAGGTGCCTGCCACCACACCCAGCTAATTTTTTTATTTTTAAAAGAGACAGTGTTTCACCGTGTTGGCTAGGCTGGTCTAGAACTCCTGACCTCAAGTGATTCACCTGCCTCAGCCTCCCAAAGTGCTGGGATTGCAGGCGTGATCCACCATGCCTGGCCAAAAGTCAGAAACTCTTAAGAGAGAATCTCGAAAGCAGCAAGAGAGAAATGACTTGTTACGTACAAGCAATAATCTATATGATTATCAGCAGATGTCTCATCAGGAACCCTGGAGTTCAGCAGGCAGTGAGCTGATATATTCAAAGGGCTGAAAGAATTTGATGAAGGTGTTGGTTCATTAGAGTGTTTCATGAATTTTATATAAACATCTCTGGAGAAATTTCTCCTATCAGGCCTATTAAAAATGTTTTTAAACTTTTCCAAAATAACTTATTTAAAATGCATTCATGACAACGAAGGGAAGAATGCATCTATTTGCCATTATCAGACAACATAATAAACAACACAATGTGTATGTGTAGACGCCTTTCTACCTGCCTGCTTCTCCTGTCCTCCCTTGCCTGACAGTCTCACTTCCTCATTCCTCAAGGGGGTGTTGTTGAAAGTCCTGGATTCCCGTCGTATCCATCTGCCCCTTCGTCTTAGTTCAGCAGACCCCAGACTTCGGCTAGTACCTTGCTTCCCAGCTAAAAGACTGAATTTCCCAGCTTCCTTTGCAACTAGGTGTGGTCATGCTTCTAAAGTCTAGCCAGTGGGATGCTAGCAGAATTGTCCTGTGAGGCTTTTCAGAGCCAGACTTTCTTTCCCGCCTCCCTTCCACCACCCTGCTGCCTGGCACATTCACACGACGGCTGGAGCTCTAGCATTCATCTCACGCCATGAGGACAAAGACTGCATCACAGCACAGGAAGTGATGACTCAGAAGGAGCCTCTGTCCCTGGTGACTTTGTAGAGCCTCGATACCAGACTGACTGTTCTGGATTCGTTTACACATGAGAGACTTGTTTAAGTCCGTTATTTTTTTTTTCCTGTTTCTGTTACTTAAAAGCAAACCTAATTCTACCTCATAACAAATACTGGCAACCTTGGGGTTTCCTTCTGCATTTTTCTCCAGGTTCTACACATACGTACAATCACGTATACTATACGTATATTTCGACGTGTCTCACATCATTCGTTTAAAAATCTGAAAATGTCTCTGCTATCTTTTCTCAAAAAAAGAAGAAAGTAAATGCAATGTGAAGCAAAAATTACCTGTTATTTATAAACCTCTACCCGGCATTTTTAAAAGACCATTCTCAATATTGGCATACATAAAACGAAATCAGTGCCCTCTACTCCTGCTGGTGGGGAAGGAACTAACGTAAATGTTCAGGACAGCCATTTAACAACAGGTAACAAGAGCTTTCAGAACCTCGCAATGTGGCGATTTGCCTTCTTAGGAGCTGATGGCAAGGAAATAACCAGAGAGGCAGAGATCGGTGTGCGGAAACATTCATGACATGTCGCAGTGATGCTGAGAACACTGACGGTTTCCCAGCAGGGAAGCATGTGTGAAATATGGCCCGTCCACAGAATGGAATATCATGCAGTGGTTAAGAGGGGTGTTCATAGATCATTTTAATGGTGGGGGAAAAGCTCTGCCTGTAGTGTAAAAGGGCACAGTAAGCTACACATGAAAGAACACGTGGGTCACACAGGAGAAAGCCCAAACAGACACATGTGAAAGCAGTGGTGTCAGGGCTCCCTAGGGGGCCGAGCTCCTGACCTCAGTCACTTTATACATTTCTCTTTGTTTCCCAGATCGTGGAAAACCCTTGCCCAATGCATTTACCCAGGTTATGTCAGCATTTACCCAGGGCCATAGGAGGCACGATGTGACTTGCTGTGATCACTGTAAATCCTGAATCCTGTGACAACGTGGTTGACACCAAGTCCCCTGAGCTCAAAGCACCCGTGGTCTCAGTCCACCCCACCCCCACCCCTGCAGAAGTCTCACATCCCACCTGACAACCCGACTGCACGGTCTAATTCCCTGCTAGGCCTGGGCTGGTGGACAAGCCGTCCCCTAGTCGGACAGCAGAATGGCCGATGCCCGGATGACAGAGTGTATTTTCACCCAAGGTGCCAAGCGGGGAGGAAGGGGGAGCTGAGGTGACAGGGGCAGAGGAGCCACAAGCCTGCGGCCTCCAGACACCTCGCGTGCTTCCGTGGGCTCCGAATCACCCATGGTCCCACTTCACGCGTGGGGACGGCCAGGCCCTGGCACCCCGCCCCATCATCCTTCCCTGGTTTTGTGTATTTTTCCAGTCGTTTCTGCGTGTTGAATTTCGGTCCACAGACACGGGACCGCGGCTCTGCCGCTGTGGGGTCCTCCCTGCCCGTGGGCTGCTTGGTAGCTGCAGATAGCATCCCTCTCCTTTTCTGCAGAGCCCCTGGGGCTGCACAGCGCAGGGACCAGGAGAGCAGTGAGGGGAAGGGGCCAGCCTCCACAGTCAGGAGTCCGGCTCGGCCCTGAGCCACCTGCCAGGGCAGCTTCTTCCTCACTCTCCACTGAAAACAGCTCCACTGCACAGAATCTGGATTTAATCTGTTATTGTACAGAAAAAAAAAAACAACAACAACAAAAAACTCCTTCCCTGGGCCCTCCCATCAGATGAGAAAATGTGAAGGGAGGCATCCCCAGAGCTTCCCAGCCACAGCCACGGGGTGGTCAGGAGGGGCAGCTCCGGAGGTGGGGCCGGCCGGGCCCTCCTCTGCCACCGTCCTTTGCCCCGGGCACTGTTCTCCGAGTGCAAGAAAGTTCCAGAGTGAGAGAAGGCAAAGGAACGGAGGTGGGAGGGAAGCTGGCTATGGCTTCAAAACGGGCCTGTCCGCACCCCTTGGCTCACGCCTCCCACACAGCATTTGCTGCTCGCTGGGCAAGAAAAGCAAGCAAGAAACAAAGGCATTCCTGGTTTTCCTTTTTATTCCACTGGGTCTTGGCTGCTTTCTGAATTTAAACACCTGGGACCGAACCCCAACACCACTGCCCTGAGTCCACTCCAGAGCTGCCAACACCCCTGCTTCCACATGGAAACTGACCCTGAGGACTGCCCTGGCCACCCTTTCAGCTTTTGAGACCACCTTGTGGGGTCCTGGCGGGGCTCCTCCTCTGCCTCCCCCTCTAGACTGTGGCCCCAGGACTGAGGGCTGGCAGGGACCGGCACAGAGGGACCAGGAGGAAGGCCGGTGCATGTACAGGTGGGGACAGCGTCCCCGGACAACGAAGCTTGAGCAGATGCACCCAGGGTCGCCTCCCTGCAGACCACAGAGGACAGGGCCCTGCCTGGCTCTCCACTGCACTCAGGGCTTTTCTAGGCATCCAGTGTCCAGAAAGTTGCTGGCATGGAGTGGGTGATTCCCAAGTGTGTGTTGAATAAAGGAGGGACAGAGATTCACCTGTTTCTGAGGGTAGGAGGAGAGGGAGGAGCTCCAGCCCTTGCCCCTGGAATCACTAACCATCTGGGGGTGCACGGAGGAAGAACTTCTCCTCCCCGTGTTGGGCGGATGGACAGACAGCCTGATGTGGGACCAGGAGGAAGACGTATCCCCAGGCCACCTTCCCATAACCCGGCTTGGAGGCAACCCAATGCCATCCCCATTTTAGGGATGCGAAAAATTGAGGCCCAGGGAGGTGAGGGGTCTTGCCCAGGAGAGCCCGAGCCCTTCCCCACCCTCACAGCCTGCGCATCCCGCTTCCCGCTCCCTCTCGCGGTCCCCAGCCCGGCTCTGACCCGCGCTGCCCGCACGTCCCTGCAGGACCTGCAGATCATCAGCACGGACGAGAGTCAGGTGTTCGTGGCGGTGCAGGAGTGGTACCAGGTGGATACCTACAACCTGTACCAGTCGGATCCGCGGGGCGTGCGCTACGCGCTGGCGCTGGAGGACGTGCGCAGCTCGAGGCAGGCGGAGGAGAGCGTGCTCATCGACATCCTGGAGGTGGGTCTGCGCCTGGCCCCCGTCCTCTCCCCCCACCTCCTTCCCCTCCCTTCCGGCCGGTCTCTAAGGCTGTCCCGGGTCTGCACACAGCTTCTGTAAAGAGCCGCATCCTTCCGGCTTTGCAGGCCAAGAGGCTGTTATGTAGGTGCTTTCAGAGGAAGAGAATTTCCTTCGTGGGGAAGTTCAAAATACAGTGAGCATCGAGGGCACGTTTTTGTCATGAGAAAAATGGAATTATTTGAAGGAAGAACATCTGACTGACCCGGGTCCAGCCAGTGTTCCCTGTCAACCCCTCACAAGCCCTCATCACACGTCCTGGGCTGGGGTCACCCCTGAGGACGCTCAGGCTCTGAGATTCTCTCTGAGTGCCCGTTTCTCTCTCTTCGTCTCCTCCTTTCTCCCCTTCTGTGTGTCTGAAGTCTGCCTCCCTCCTGCTGTGTCTCCCTGGAACCCAGCCCTCCACCCTCCCTCCTGCCACTCCTCTCACCTCATACAAGCCCTGCCCCGCCTCCTGGGTTGCCATCTGAGATCTGATGGGAGCCTCCCTCGCTGCCCTCCTGGGTCCTCCCTTGGCCTCCCGCCTGAGCCTCCACTGACCCCAGAGAATGCCCCGGGCATCGCACCACCATGGCTCCATCTCCACCTGGATTCCTGCAGCAGTCCTGCCCCAGCCAGGCTGCTCATGGGCCCTCTCCTTTGTTCCTGAAATGCCACGGCCAGTGAGCGGTGGTGGAGGGGGGGGTGGTCACTCAGCCCATGTACAGGTCAGAAAACTGAGGCTCAGAGAGGGAAACGACCTGCCCAGGCAGACCCAGACGTAAGCAGGAAAACCAGGACCGGCCCAGGCCTGTCTGCTTTGAGCCTGCCACCCTCCTCTTGCCTGTGGGGACACCCCCAAGTGGCCCATGACGCACACTGGGAGAGTGTCCTGTGGGTGGCCAATAGACCTGGGCAGACAGTGGCGTTCACAGGCTTGTGGGTGGGAGGCGCCAGGCCCAGCATTCATCCTCCCTCACCAGCAGCAGCGGAACTGTGGTCCCCGGGACAGTCACCAATGGAATCACACGTTTGCAATGCTAACCCATTTGTCAGGATTTACCTCCCCAGCAAACGATGCGGATGCAGCCTCACTGCCTAGAGCCCCCCGCAGGCGGCCCTCCTCCACCTGCTAGGCAGCACCCACCCCCTAGTGTCCCCAAGGCCCTGCCCCCTGAGCCTCTAGGAAGGGACTGGGTCCGGCCCAGACATGGCTCTGGAAGGCAGTGGGCGGGTGGTGATGGGATGGGAAAGGTGCCAAGAACGGGATGGAGTGGGCTCCACGGCCGTCCCGTGCACAGGCATCTGTGATGCCCACACCACCGAATGCCATGCTCTGGGCCCTGCCCTCAGGACACAGGCTGGATACGACATGCACCACCACCCCTCATGAAGCAGGAAGACGCCTCGCAGCTGGGGTTCTGAGTGAGCATACCGGAGCCTGGGGACACAGCGCAGGGGCAGTTGGCCAGCCTGGGGCAGGAGTCAGGGAGCGCTTCCTGGAGGAGGCTGAGCAGGAGTTTGCCAGGTGAGGAAGGAGCTCAGAGGCACACACAGAGGACTCAAGGCGAGAGGAAGAGAGGAGCCGAAAGACGTTCGCAGTGGCCGGTCCAAAGGCGGCACCCCCCATCCACCAGCTGGGTGCCCTCCCAAGGGATGTCCCTTCTCTGAAAATCCTCAAACATGGGCATATTGGTGGTTATGAGCACAGCTCTGGAGCCTGACTGGCCGGGGTGCAGGCCCATGAACTTGTATGTATTTGCTGTGTGGCCGGAGGTGGCTTTCCTAAGGACTCTGCTTCCGCATGTAAAATAGGGATGGTAGTGGTACCTTCCTCACAGGGCTGCTGTGAGGCTTAAGGCTGCCATTCCTATTAAACAGGCAGAGCAGCACCTGGTGCCAATGGGCACTCACTTTGTTTTCCCGCATCTGCCCCTTCTGGGATCAGGGATCATTCCCGGGGGGCTGGCCCCTGGGTCTCACTGCACATGGCCACTACCGCTGCTGTCAGGGTTGTTGGGCACCCAGCACAAATCCAGGAAAAAATGCTTGGTGCAGGCCACGCAGCCAGCTACTGCCTCGGAAGGCTGCTGGGGTCTCTCCCCCTGCAGGGCCCAACCCGGGTTCCAGGCGAGACAGCAAACCTTTCCTGGATTCCTCTTGTGCTGGAGCTTGGGTTATGAATGGGGAATCAGGGGACATAGCCCTGTCCCCTGCCCCCAAGGAGTCCTAGCCACAGGCATCATAGTGGGCTGAATGGTGGCCCCAAAATAGGCATCGAAATGATGGCCACATTCTCATACCCAGGCCCTGCCATGTGACCTTATTTGAAAAGGGATGTTTGCAGCGTAATGAAATGACAGACCGAAGCAGAGATCATCTCGCATCATCCAGAGGAGGCTGTAAATGCAATCACAAGTGTCCTGATCAGAGCCGGGAGAGGAGCCACAGGCACACAGACAGGCACCGTGGAGACAGAGGCAGAGACTGAGGCCACAGTTCAGGGAGAGCTGGAGGCGTGGAGCTGGAAGGGGCAGGAAGAATCCTTCCCTGGAACCTGCAGAGGGAGTGCAGCGCACCCATGCCTTGATTTTGGCCTCTGGCCTCCAAGAGAATGACTGAAAAGTCCCACAAGTTGTTGTTTGAAGTCACACAACTTGTGGCACTTTTTCTAACAGATGCAAGAATGAATACAGCTGTGATATGCGCAGTTATGCAAAACCACATCAAGATTCGAAACTGATGCTCGGCCAGCCAGACCCACCCGGGGGCCTTGGCCTGTGTTTGGATCCATGTTATTTATTGCTGAGCTTTTTCATGGAGTCCTGGGTTTCTGCACGGTCTGCACTTGGTACCACATCTCACAAAGAAGCTGGACTCTGGGGCAGGGGCCCCATCTGCAGCCATCGAGTCGATTGCGCAGGTGACAGAGTGATGCCAATGGGCAAGAAGAAGCTGACTCCTCCCAGCCGCTGGGACTGTCAGCCCAGCAGGACCATTGCTGAAGCTTCCTCTGCAGAGAGGAGGACCAACCTCTAGACCACAGCACCCTATGCAGGTAACACAGTCAGCTGAACGCTCTGTGCATGGATTTCCCACGTGTATGGCACTCCCTGGAAATGCTGGGAGGATGCTTACAGTGCAAGCCACTTGGCTCCTAAAACTGCCTGTCTGTGTTGATAAGACCTGGTGGGTCCCAGGGAAAAGAGCCTGCCCCACCCCCAGCTCCCACATCCAATGAAGGCAGCCCTGAGTCTCTGAGAGCCAACTCCAAGGGTAACCTAAACAAGCCACGTCAGTGGGAGGCAAAAGATTTGTAACTACCGCTCTATGCCTCCCCCAACCTCGCACTTTGAAACAGATAACTTGTTTGCTAGTCTCCCAGCTCCACAGGTGGATTTTACCCAGAGCTCACCCACATCTGGTTTAGTTGACTTACATAGGATTTGGAAATTTTGATCTGGTGACATTTAGATGAGACTTTTGACGTCGAATTAATGCTGTACTGAGATGCGAACTTTGGAAACCTTGATGGGGTGAATGTATTCTACTTGAAGACTGAGGTGTGTCCTTGGGGGTCAGAGGAGGGACTGTGCTGGAGAGAATAGTGCCCCCCTCAAAGATGGCCACATCTCGAGCCCCGGAACCTGCATGTATGTTACCTTATGTGGCAGAGGAGGAGTGCGGTTGCAGATGGAATTAAGGCTGCTCGTCAGCAGACGGGAAGATGACCTGGGTTATCTGGATGGGCCCAGTGTCAGCACACAGCTCCTTAACACTGGAAGAGGGAAGCAGGAGAGAAAGTCAGAGAAGAAGTGATGGTGGAAACACACATCAGAGAGATGCAGTGTTGCTGGCTTTGAAGATGAAGGAAGGGGCCACGAGCCAAGGAATGCCGGTGCCTCTAGAAGCTGGAAAAGGCAAGGAAAGGAACATTCCCCTGGAGCCTCAATAAAGGAGTGTGATGCTACTGACACTTGACTGTAGCCACGTGCCAGGCTTCTGCCCTCCAGAGCTGTAGGAGAATGCCTGTGTGTTGTCTGAAGCCACTGGGTTTGCGACTGTCTGTGATAGAAGCCATAGGAAGCTCAGACCTCAGTCCACGGGTTTTATCATCATGGCTGCTGTTCTTCTCCTCATGAGGACCTGCCGGACTTGTGAGAATTTAGTGAAAGGACACATACTAAGCTCATGCCTCGAACATAGAAGCACTTAATAACTGTATGGCATTACTATCCTAACTATAATCTTTGGCTATGGGCCTTTTGGAAGGTTGCACCCCCTCTGAGCCTCAGTTTCCCTTGGTGGGTAGCCTGCATATACAGGTGCAGAAACAGCTTCTGGCCTGGAACACAGGAGGCCTGGACAAGTGGTTGGCATTCTCATGCCTCTTCACATCACACTAGTGGGTCTTGATAAATATGGGTCGAAACCCTTCATGAAATAAGGAACTTGTGGGAAGACCCTCTCGGTGGGCGAACCACTCTGTTGAACTATGTGAAGTTGCTGATAATTGCACGTTTCTTGTAGGTCAACTTAGTAGCCACTCTTAGATATGTTTGAGTCACTACCATGGGCCTTTTAGGAAACCTTGAGAAAGGGAATAGGTTAGCCCTGAGCGATGAAGGCAAGCGAGCCCTGTCCTGGGTGTTCTAGGGGAAGCATGGACCCTCCTGTCTTCATTCCTTGGCATTTTTGTATGGGGATTGAGCTGGGGAGTCCCCAGAGGCAATTCTGTTGGTCCAGGACATGTGGTCCCATAGAAACTAGAGGTGTCGGGGGGATCTGAGCTCTGCATCAGGACCTCTGAGGCAAGAATGGGGTGACTCTGAGGGACAGGCAGTTCATGTGTCCAGAACCCCTCTTGCCATCTGACAGTCTGGACCTAGGAGAACAGCTCAGCACCAGGAATATCATTCAGGCTTCAGAGCTAGATGAAACTAGCTTTCCACGAAAGCTGGGGCCAGAGTCTTGGATCCCTAGCCCCTCTAAACCTCACTCACCTCTAAAATGTGCCTCAGCTGCTGGTCATTTTGACTGTGAAATGAGGCCACATGTGCAGAATACTTAGCAAGGTGCTGGAGCATGGTGGACACTTGGCCATCAGAGTGCTCCAGCATAAGATTATAGTCCTTTTCATATTTTTGTCCCAGGTCAGAGGGGTGAAAGGAGTCTTCCTGGCAAACCAAAAAATTGATGGGAAAGTGATGACGCTTATAACCTACAACAAGGGCCGTGACTGGGATTACCTGAGGCCACCCAGCATGGACATGAATGGAAAACCAACCAACTGCAAGCCTGTAAGTACCTCTGCTCACATCACACACCTTCCATGGGGTGGACACAAGATGTGACTTCAGTCATCGAGAAGGTCAGAGGTGGTGATGTCTGAGAAGGACTATCTGAAACACATGAACCACTTATTTCTGATGGGTGTGATGGAAAGGAGCAAATGAAACTCCTTATTTTACAGAAAAGTTAATTGGAGGTCAGGGAAGGAAGTGTATCAGTTAGTTTTTGACACAGAATTGCTATGTGATAAACCACACCAAAACAACAATCATTTATTCTCCAGATCTACAGGTGGGCTCAGCTGGGTGGCTCTGCTGACCTCAACTGGACTCAGCTGGGTGGCTCTGCTGACCTCGGCTGGGTTCAGCTGGGTGGCTCTGCTGATCTCGGCTGGGCTCAGCTGGGTGGCTCTGCTGATCTTGGCTGGGCTCAGCTGGGCGGCTCTGCTGATCTTGGCAGGGCTTGATCATATGTCAGGGAATTGACTGATTTAGGCTGGTCTCTGCTCTGCCCATCTTGCATCCTTCTCCTGGAACCCCCTTAATTTTCATGGTGATACCAGAAGTTCAAGAGGGTAAACAGAAACAGGCAAGTACATTTCAAGCCTGCTTATGGTACATCTGCTAAATCTTACTGGTCAATATGAAGGATCTGGGAAGTATACTCTTCCCATGGGAGCGAGGGCTGGAGAGCAGACACTTGCTTCTAATGTGCCACAGAAGGCAGTGTACCATCACACTGTCAGTAAGTGATGGGGTTGGGGCAGAGATCGGACATCATGAGCTTCAAAGCTGCTCCCACTATCCCAGGGGCACCTTTCTACATGAATTGAAGTATAGACTGCCTGAGTCCTTGGTTGCCTACAGTAGGGCGGGATCTTTCAAAGTAGCTGGGACTCTTGCCAGCTCTGGTGTGGCTAGCAGGGAACTAGGTGGTGCACAGGCCCGTGCTGCTGAGGAAGGAGAGGCAGAGCTGTAAGAAGTAGGGCTCCTGGCTCAGGTGAGCACTCAGCTGCCAGAGACCAGTGAATGCAAGAGAAGAAGAGGCTGAGTGCGCCAAGAGAGTCTGATTGGGTGTCACACCCACCTTCCAACACCCCTGTGAGACCTGGCCTCTCCTGGGGCCTCTGTCCTTGCATACCACAGGGAGATCACCACCACCAGCATCCCTGACCCTTCCTGGGTGTTGAGTAACTCAGGGTGGGAGGAGGGTCTAGTCTTGGAGCTGCACAGAGCTGCAGTCTTAGCTCCTTGACTGGCTGTGCGATCTTGGCTAAGTCAACCAGTGCCTCTGAGCCTCTGTTGAAAAGGGAGGAAGATAATAAACATCCCTGTGGCATTGGGGTGAGGATGAGATGGAAGAATGCAGAGACCAGCCTATGCCTGGCACAGAGCAAACAGCAAAGAGAGAGCTTCCCTTGCCTTCCAAGCTCTCTCTTTCCACACTATGCCCAAGGCCTACAATGCCCTTTCCCCTTTCCTCATCCAACAAACTCCTACTGACACCTGAAAATCCTACCCAAATGTTCCCTCCACTGAGGAGCTCTCACTGGGCATAATTGCTTCTCTGTCTGTTTCCCACTGTCGCCCATAAACCCTCTTAGAGACTGCACACTGGGAACACCTGAACCTACCCATCACTCTGCCTCAGTTTCCTCATGTGTAAAATAGAAGGAACAAAAGTACCTGTCTGACAGGGTTATATTCAGCAAATCTACATGAGCATTTGCTGTGTGCCACACACTATTCTGCAGGTCCAGAGCACACTAAACCAACAAAACAGAAGACATTCTCTGTCTCCTTGGGATTCCACCTGCCACACAGCAGGGCTTAGAAAATGGTGAGCCCCCCACACCCACCAGCCCCAGTGTTGGCCCATGGGGCCCATGGTGCTAAGAGGAGAGCACCCAGAGAGCCTGACCCCAGAGCCAGGGCAGGACTCTGTGGCCTCCAGGGTGGCTCCTTGCTCTAAGCTGAGGTTTGAACTCTGACTCACGAGCACTCACCTGTCAGGAGCCCGCTGCCTGCCTCTATTCAAGCCCCCTCCTGCTGATAACACCTGTCGACCTGTGTGGAGAATTAATTACCTGCCCTTTGTAAAAATGCTTCCCAGAACAGAATTGCTATGAAAGGGCTAATTTTTATATCATCGTCAGCAAAGTAAAGCCATATTAATCTGTCAAAGCAAGTTTGTGCTAAGAATAGATTCTTGTCTGCGATTATGCAGCTCAGTGAAGAGATAACCTCAGTGAGATTTATGTCCTGGCCTTAAAATAATAAAATAGGAGCAAACTGGTGAGTGTGCGAGCCCCAGGCCGGCATGTGGGAACTCAACTGGGCATGGAGGGAGTGCAGAACCAAGTGCATGGAGCCCACGTGGGCACAGCAGACATCAAATCACAGCCTCACAGGCCAGGTGCGGTGGCTCACGCCTGTAATCCCTGCACTTTGGGAGACCAAGGCGGGCAGATCACCTGAGGTCAGGACTTCAAGACCAGCCTGGTCAACACGGAGAAACCCCATCTCTACTAAAAATATGAAAATCAGCCAGGCATGGTGGCATGTGCCTGTAATCCCAGCTACTTGGGAGTCTGAGACAGGAGAATCGCTTGAACATGGGAGGCGGAAATTGCAGTGAACTGAGATCGTGCCGCTGCACTCCAGTCTGGCCAACAGAGCGAGACTCCATCTCAAAAATATATCTATCTGTCTGTCTGTCTCTCTGTCTGTCTGTCTGTCTATCCATCTATCCTAATCTGCCATGGAAGTCAGTATACCATCATACTGTCAGTAAGTGATGGAGTTGGGCCAAAGCTCAGACATCATGAGCTCCAAAGCTGGTCCCACTATCCCAGCAGCATCTTTCTGCATGAATTGAAGTGTAGACTGCCTGGGTCCTTGGTTGCCTAGAGTAGGGAGGGATCTCTCAAAGTAACTGGGAGTCTTGCCAGCTCTGATGTGGCTAGCAGGGATCTAGGTGGTGCCCAGGCTCAGATGGCCTGGCCAATCCTGTGTGTGTGGCCATGGCATCTCCAAGGGTGAAAGGGCAGGGGCAGGACAAGGTAGGTCACTCACAGGACCTCCTGACTGTGCTGCTCCTGCAGCCCCACAGCCTCTCAATGAACGGCAGACTACCTGAGGGCGTATTGCTCATAAAAGTGATGCCTGATTATTGCAGAATGCTTAAGATACAGAAAAGGGAAATAAGATACAACTAGAATCACTCCATCCAGAAAAACAGTAATTGGGTATTTTTGTTCTTTGCAATCTATTTGCTCACATACATGTCACAAAATCATCATTGAGATCCCACACGTGCATGATTTTTCAGCCCTCTGTTTCTCTCTCAACTCTGGGTCACGAATCTTTGCTCAGGCCACCTGACCAGCTCCCTGTCTGGGGATACCTCCTTCCAGCAGTGGGGAATAAAGGGATGGCTTTATTTAATAACAGGAGTGGCATGATCAGATCTGTTTTAGGATGACCCAGCTTCATTGGAAGATGGTTTTGAGTGTTCACATGTTGAATTCAGGATAAACCTCATTCAGCGGGCAGCCTGTGGTCACTCTTCTGAGGTGAGGCTGTGGCAAGCACCAGGTGCCCAGGTGGTTGGTGCTCCAGCTCCCAGCCCTGGTCTACCTCGTAGGCTTTGATGATTTTCTACAGACTTCTTTAAAGCACCCTCTGGCCCGTATGTGCTGAACGGGCAAACAAGAGAGTCCTGGGACAGCATGAGCCCCCAGCTTGGCCTCTGCCTCCAGCCTTGCAGGGACCCAGGCCCACCTTGGCCAACACTGGAGCATTCTGCACTGACTCCTAGGGCCACAGCCTCCCCTGGGGGTCTCCTGTCCTCATCCTGGCTGGCCTCGGAGGAAGCCCCGTCTCTGACCACATGCCGCTGAGGCGTGTCCTGGGGCTGCTGATGTGCGCTGGCCTGCCACCTGTGCCGGGCATCCGAGTGCCCCATAGGAAGGCTCCTCCAGGCCTGCCAGCATTGCCCTTCCTTTCACCTGGTGGCCCAGGCTCGCGTGGGAGTGCAGGTGTGAGACACCAGCACAGCGCCTGCAGCTGCCCCGGGAGCACGGGGAGCCAGCTGGCTGCCAGCAGGCCCCAAGGCAAATGCAAGGGGGTCACAGTGCTGCCTGTGGTCAGGTCACCAGGGCCTGCGGGGTATAACTGGCCACCTCACAGGGAGCCCTGAGGAGGGTTCCACTTCTCTGTCCTGAGTGCCAGGTAACCAGGAGAGGCTACCAGTGGCGAGGGGTGGGGAGAACGGTGGGGTTTGTGAAGCAGGACCTTCTAATTCAGCTCCGCCCACTGAGCACGCAGCGAGTGACCAGCTGTGCCCAACTCATCGGAGGAATGGGAGAGGTTGACGGAGACCAGCCCATGAGCTCTGGCCCCTCCAGGCTCCACCTGGCCTTCCGGGACACCTAGGACAGCAAAGCATGGCCGAGCCATGGCGGCCTCTGCCGGACACGCTACTGTGAGGACTCCAATGCCACACCCCTGCTAAGCACCTTCTCATTAGAGCTGCCTTCTGCAGCACAGAAGCCCGACGCTGCCAACCAAGATCACAGCAGCCTCCCTCCACAGCAAGCCGCCTCTGTCTTTCTGCCTGAGCGATCTGGGGGATAGGAGGATAGGACTGAAAGGTGCCAGCAAGTCTATTAACTCGCAGGCCTGCCTTTCCATTGTCAGAAGCCAGCAGACTCTACTGCAGTGGGCAGTGTCTTAACATCCCATAGGTTTTCAGCGGGCCCGTTTGTCACTGTGCAATCCAGGTGTTTCTGGAACCCTTCGATGGCCCTCCGGGGGTGACACAGAGCCCAGGCTCCTGCCAGCTGGGACCCTGCGGGCTTCAGCTCGGGGCTCCCGGGTCCCCTGGGGGTCTCAGTCCCTCAGTCCTCTTCAGGATGTGCCTCTGCAATGGACGTGGGGCCGCCTTTCAGCTGAATTTGCAACCTTTCTTTCTTTCTCTTAGTTTCTAATAGCTTTGTTGAGATCTCACTCACACACCATACAGCTCACCTTTCAAGTGCACAGCTCAGTGGTTTTTAATATATTCGCAGAGTTGTGCAGCCCTCACCACCATCCATTTTAGGATATTTTCACCACCCAAAAAAGAAGCCCCAGTGCCTTAGCTGTCACCTCCCTGTCCCCCATCAGCCTCCAGCCCCTGGAAACCACCCATCTATTGCTGGCTCTATAGATTGCCTGCTCCGGGCACTGCTCATGGGTGAGTCATACAGCATGCAGTACAATCAGCCTGCCAACTGTGGCCACCGTGTGGTCGCATCTTATCCAAGTCAATATCCAATTTCCTGAGCAGTTCAACTTTTAACTTAGGGTCACCTGCATAAAACGAAAGCAGTTCATGGGCTTGAAGAAGGTGTTATGAAGGTGGGAGATGAAGAGGGAGGACATCTCTGACGTGGATTTCAGTGGATGATACGACACCCCGGTGACAGTGGGGTTCTGGAATGACCCCCACAGACCGGGTCAGCAGGCCTCACTGTCGATGGCTACATTTTACAGATGAGGAAACTGAGGCCCAAAGCTGCCCAGAAAATTAGCCGTGCCTCCTAAGTGACAATCTGGATCTCTGGGTACCCAGTTCTAGGGTATTTCTAAGCTGGAGATTTTTAACAGAAAAAGAAAGAATTTTAAGGCAGGGAAATACAATGTTTACCATTCTTATAAGTAAACAGCTGGGCAGTGCCTTGCCCTGGGGAAGGGCTGGACCCCAGAGCTGTGCCATGTTAACCCAAGAATCCCGAGAAGCAGAGGTGACTGCCCTGTCTCAAAAGAAAGAAAGGCACAGAGAGGCTAAGCATTTTTCCTGGGGCCACACTGCCATTAGAGGAGGTATGAGGAGTCAGGCCCTGGTCCTTTCTGTGACCAGCCTGAGAACTACCCTGCCTCGCTTCACCCTGTGGAGCACCTGGAATTGGGGAAATTAGGACGGCTGAGCCCAGAGTCATTACCCCTCAAACCCTTTCGGCATGTGCTGGTTCAGTGGGGTCTCTGTTGGTGCACCTATGTCACCTAAGGAAGGCTCGGCCTGCCAGACCTCTGAGAACCAGTAGCTTCAGGCTGCCAGAGGGAGGTCAGGAGAAACGGGGTCTCCAGAGCCAGCCCCCTGGAACTCTTGCACACTTAACCCACCCCTCTGTATCTCAAAGTGGGAGGGTCTTCCAGGGTGACCCCAGCTGTCCGCTGATGCCAAGGATACTGTGGTCACATAAGAGGATTCCCAGTAAAGGTTCTGGGTAGGTGAATGAATATGAGCTTGGGCTGTGCAGCCTCCAGGGATCCCATCCCACGGCCCAGCACTGCACACGGGAGCCATGTTGGGGGACCCACCTGCCAGGACCCATGCCCAAGAGCCCTCAGTGGGAGAAGCCCCAGCAGCTGCATGTGTGAGCAGAGGCACCACATCCAGAGGTTGCAGGGTTCCCTAATCTAGACCAGAGAACCAAGGGATCACCCTGGGTGCCTCACCACACCCAGATGCTGTAGTGGGTCTGTAATCTAGACCAGGGAGTCAATGGATCCTCCTGGGGTGTGTCTCTGCACCCAGATGCTGCAAGGGTCCCTAAGCCAGACCAGGGAACCAACAGATCCCCCCGGTTCCTCACTGGTGCCTGCTTCCACCTCCCAAGCTATTATTAGCACAGCACCTTCTGAAGCGGCCCTTGTCCTTCCCACCCTTTGCCTACAGGTCAACCTTACACCTGCTTCCCATCCTCCCTCCATTCCTCCAAGGCACTCCTGGCCCAGCCTTCTCTCCCAAAAAGCCACAGGGGCAGATTGCCATCAGACTTAGTGTTCCTAAGGATGCTCTTACCCACATGCTGACAGCGGCTTCCTTTCTCTTCCTTGCAGCCAGACTGCCACCTGCACCTGCATCTGCGTTGGGCAGACAACCCCTATGTATCGGGCACCGTGCACACCAAGGACACCGCCCCAGGCCTCATCATGGGTGCAGGTAGGTGGCTGCCATCACAGGTGGCTGGCAGGTGCCATTACAGTCCGAGAGTACCTCCAGTCTCAAGGGTAAAAATGGATGGTCATGGGCCTGAGGCCGTACTCAGAACCACTGCATCTGCAGGAAGCTCAGCTCTCATGGCAAATTCTGGGAGGTGAATGCATGGCCCAGGTTGGGCATGTGATATATGTTGGCTGAATAGAAAGACGAATAGATGGAAGGGTGGATCAATGGATGGATGGATAGATGAACTGATAAATGACGGCTAATGGGTGGGTGGATGGTAGATGAATGATGGCTGGAGGGGTGATGGACACATGCTGGATGGATGATGCATGACAGGTGGATGATGGTGGATGGGTGATGGATGGGTGGGTGAGTGGGTGGATGAGTGGGTGGATGGATGATGGATAGATGATGAATAGACGGATGGACAATGAGTGAATGATGAATGGACAGATAGATAGATGGGTGGTGGGTCAATGGATGGATGATTTGTAACATAGTTGATATTTATTGGCCCCTGAAGAAAGTTTTAGTTTAGTAGGAGAGAAAGACAAGTATACAACTAGCACTTTTTTAAAAAAAACCAAAACTATAATTTTTGTGTTTGTCTCTTCCACTAAATTAGAACCTCCAATAATCGCAGCGTACTAATCAAATAATACCATAAAATGAGGTTGATTGTTTTAGAAGAGCCATTCAAAATACAAAGTAGAGCCACCTCTCTGAGGTCCCTTGGCTGGAGTGTGGAAGAGCCAGGCAAGACTTTGCACATGGGGTCTGTGACATTCAGAGAGGCAGCGTCTCCTGCAGACACTGGATGCAGAGGTTGCACATGGGGTCTGTGACAGAAAGGTAGCGTCTCCTGCAGACACTGGACGCAGAGACACAGCCCCAGAGCTCACACTTCCTGAAACTAGGACCCCATCCCTCCATTTCCCCAGCACCATCTCTCACACAGAGGGGGTGGCCTTGTGGCCAATGGCCAAGGACCATATGGATGTGGACCGCAGACTCTGAGCTGGACACTGCATCTGACCCTTCACCATATCCCAGCACCGAGCTGGGGCCTGACCCAGGGTGGGCCCTCCAAGGCTGTTTGTGAATGAGTGAGTGAAGGGACAAGTGAATGAGTGGCCATGTTGTGATGGCAGGAATGGCCTTCTGAGTGGAAAGGGGGACATGGGGACCCCAAAGGACCAGACCAGAGTGCAGGGAGAGGCTGGAGGTGAAGCCTGCATGCAGGGCTGGATCTGATGGTGGAGATGTGACCTGTCTGGGGATGCTGGGGCTTTGCCTTAGGGAAGTGACAGGGCATTGAGAACAAAGCCTTCAGCTTCTGCAGTTCCTCTGTGCACTCCACAGAGGGTCCTAGGCAGTGACGGCCCATCTGGACAGCCTCTGTCTGCTTCCACAGTGATCAATGAAAATGCAACCCATCAGCATTAGTGTCAAGCTGCTCACTGCCTATCAGCTTCCACGCACAGACAGGCTCGCCACCCATGTTAGATGCCCCCAGTCCTATGGGCTTCTCAGTGATGGGGCATTTAAAATGTACCACCTTGATTGGCCGCAACCCCAAATTCTTGACCAAAATACAAAAGGTGTAACTTTCAATGTTTCCACTGCTCAAAGTCCCCGAGAGCCTGGAATGAGCGTCCCCGTCCCTCCGCGTCAATCGGCACATCCCTGAATTGTGCAGGAGTCACACAGCGCATCGAGAGCAGCCCCTTTGCTCTGTGGGGGTGTCCGTCACAGCCTCCCCCCACCCTGCCTGCCTCCCACTGTCCCTGCAAGGGAGCGAGGCTACACTCCTATTTTATTCTGCTTCCCTTCAGTCTTGGCTGGCGCCTTCCCGGAAGGTGGAGCCAGCTGTGCAGGGCGGGCTGATTGATGTGTCACTTGTTTCCATCCCGCTCTCCAGTCCTGAGCACCTGCTGGAGCAGGAGGAGAAGGCACGTGGGCAGGCTTCACACCTGCCGGCCCGACACGGCCGCCCGCCCTGGCACAGCTCTCAAGGCCATGTGGCTACACGACCGGAAGCAAGGCAGCTCGAGGGAATGGCTACCTGTTTCCACAGGGTCACTCCCTGCCTGCCCCGTCATTCATTCCTGAATTCCATCCTGGAGGCAGGCAGATGAGAGGGATAAGCCCCAGGCTTCATGCCTCCCAGCTGTAGGACTTTGGGATTTCACTGCACTTCTCTGAGGCTCAGTTTCCTCATCTGCAAAATGAGAGGACAAAATCTCCACGCTCAGGATGAGACGGGGTAAGGCAGGAACCCTCTGAGGCAGGTGTGCTCTGCCGGGCTGTCCTCTCATCTGAGGGGATGCTGGACACCGCGCCCCCATGCCAGGCATGGCACCGGGTGCTGGAAATGAGGGAGATGAGACTCAGCCACTCAGGTACACAGAGGCGCAAAGGGACGATGACCGCAGGGCCAGACGCGTCCTGACGCCAAGTTCCTACAAGATGGTCCAGAGGGACATAGGGTATAGGCACTCGATTCTGCCCTGAGGTTTGGGCAGAGCCTGCTGGGCAAATGGGCATCTACCAAGCCTACCCACAGGGAGAGCACACCATGTGCCGGGTGGAGGTTGTAGGGAGTGCAGCACTGGGGGCTCGAGCTGGAGGAGGTGCATTCCAGTCTCCGGGGCCTGTCCTCAGGTCCAGCCTGCAGAGGCCGGACTGCAGAGGGACCCAGAAAGGGGAGCTGTGGCTCCAACTATTAATAGAAGGGGATGGACTTGAGAAGAAATGACAAACTTGGCTTCTAACCCCCCTGGTAGAGAATCAGCCACGTTGAGCCCAGAAATCAACCCAGCCATGGCAAAGGGTGCCGGTGGCGGGTTCTTCCCAGCTGGGTGTGTCGCAGGACTGAAGGGCTGGCTCCCCTCCGAGTGTGCCCGTGCTGGAGTGAAGGGCTCTGAAGGAGATCTCATCTTCATCCTTTCAATAAACTAGGCTAGGAATCCTCACGCTGAGTTAAACCCTGTGAGGTCAACGCTTCCTGCTCCATACCTTCAGGGCTCCCAGCGTGCCAGTTTTCCCTGGGCCCTGTACAGCCAGTGGCCAGCTGCTTCCCACTGACCCCTTGCCAAGGCTGCTCTCCACGCCCAGGGCAGACCCTGTTCTGGCTGGGTTCCCATTCTGGCTCATGTGCCTCCCCTACAAAGCCAAAGAGTGCCAAGTGGGTGCCACCCCCTACCTGCTCCTCAGATGCTGTGGGTGCCCCAGGTGGTGACGGAGCCCGCCTCCTGCACTGCCCTTTGCCCCATCCCGGTCACTGGCCTGCATCCCAGCTGATTGTCCAGACATGAGTCCTCGGGACTCGACACGGAGCAGAGGCTGGCAAACACTTCTCTGTCCCTAGCCCCGGCAGAGGTGTTGGTAGCATTTAGCCAAGGAAATCTTGAGTAGCCATTTTGGAGCTGGGAGCACTGTAGCCTGCCTTATGCTGGCTTGGCTCAGGGAATGGAGTCTTGGAGCCATATGCAGCCCCAGCCCTCCCCGGCACAGTCCCCTTTTTGGTGACTTGGCCAGTCAGGGGCTCATCAATGTCAGGACATGTCTAGATGTGTGGGCAAGACGCCCTTGGCCTGGCTGAGGGGCCTGGGTGAGGTTGGGAGCTGACCTAAGCGCCCCCAGCACTGTGGATGCTCACCGGGCCCCTCTGGATCACCAGCAGCACCATGGGGCAGCCCACTCACAGGGCCCTGGCTGTGTCTTGGGCATCACTGGTGCCCCTTCTGCTCCTGGAGCCATTAGTATCTGCCCCACAGTCCTCCTTGGTGAAGTGTGGGTGGGGGAGAATTTGGTGTGTTGCTTTGCTCTGTCTTCTGGCTGCAGGGGCAGAGGAAGGATGGAGAGGAGGCACACCTTCATTCAGGGAGCACTGACTCCTACCAGACCCTAGGGCACCAAGGAAGGGCAGGGGTCCTGGGCCTGGGGGAAGGAGGCCGAAGGAGACACCAGAACACTGGGCAGGGATGCAGCAGGGAGGCTTCTCCCCTCATTACCTCCCCCAACCAGGGGCCTCAGTTTGCCATCCGTAAAACGAGGGTGCCAGCTTCAGCTCCCTGCAGGCCCTTCCGCTCTGACAGCCTGTGATATGCCGTGAGTCCCTCCTTCCTTCCCCCGAGACTGGTAGGTGACTGGCAGCCTGACAGCTTTGGTAGACAGAGCAAGGAAAACAGATAGCGTTCCTCAAAAGACCGACGCGTGCACGATTGAAATTACAAACTGCAAATTGGCCAGCTCAGTGTGCTGACATGGCGACACTCGCCGCCCGGCCCCGCATGTGATGTGTGTGTCCTGGAGTGGCGGCTGGCGGCTGGGACAGCGGAAGGATAAAAAGCGCCCCTGTTTCTCTCCTCCCTGCTGCTCATTCTGTTCACTCATTCTCCTCACTCACTTCATTCAGCTCCTTTTGTCTGCACCACACCACACAGGAGAAGGGACGGGTCCAGCGGTACCCAGATTCCACACCTGCCGCTCTGCCCCACCTGCCGATCTGTCTTGCACCTGCCCAGGTCCATGCCTCTGCCCAGGCTGCTCCCTCTTCTTTGGACACCCTGTTGCCCTTCCCTGAGCCATCCCTGGTTAGCTCTTTCCTGCTCGAGTCTCTCCTTGAGGCTGTCCTCATGGGTCCACTGTCCTGGCTCTGTATGCACCTGCACGGTCACCCTCTTCTGCTAGATTCCCTCAGGGAGCAGGGGCCACGGCTCATTCAGCTCAGGCTCCCCTGAGCTCAGTACAGGGCTGTGCAGAGAGCAGACACTCAGCAAATGCCATTGAATATGTGCAGGAAGGAGGGAGTGGTGGAGCTGAGAAAGAGGTGGTAAGTAGATAGAGGGATGACTGGTTGGATGGGTAATAGATCAATAAAAGATGGATGGGAGGATGGATAGATGCATGGATGAGAGGAGGGGTGGATGGATGGATAGCTGGGTGGGAGGGTGGATGGATGGATGAATGGATGGATAGATAAATGGATGACTGGATAGGTGGATGGATAGATGGATGGATAGGTAGGCAGGTGAGTGGGTGGATGGACGGATGAATGAACGGATGGATAGGTGGGTGGATAGGTGGGTGGGTGAGTGGGTGGATGGATGGATGAATGGATGGATAGATAAATGGATGACTGGATAGGTGGATGGATAGATGGATGGATAGGTAGGTGGGTGAGTGGGTGGATGGATGATGAATGAACGGATGGATAGATGGATGGATAGGTGGGTGGGTGAGTGGGTGGATGGATGGATGGATGGATGGATGGATGGATGGATAGATGGATAGGTGGGTGGGTGAGTGGGTGATGGATGGATGAATGGATGGATAGATGGATGGATAGGTGAGTGGATGAGTGGGTGGATGGATGGATGGAGGAATGGATGGACAGATGGATGGATAGGTGGGTGGGTGAGTGGGTGGATGGATGGATGGAGGAATGGATGGACAGATGGATGGATAGGTGGGTGGGTGAGTGGGTGGATGGATGGATGGATGAATGGATGGATAGATGGATAGATAGGTGGGTGGGTGAGTGGGTGGGTGGATGGATGGATGGATGGATACGTGGGTGGGTGAGTGGGTGGATGGATGGATGGATGGATGGATAGACGGATGGATAGGTGGGTGGGTGAGTGGGTGGCTGGATGGATGAATGGATGGATGGATGGATAGATGGATGGATAGGTGGGTGGATGAGTGGGTGGATGGATGGATGAATGAATGGATGGATGGGTGGATGGATAGATGGATGGATAGGTGGGTGGGTGAGTAGGTAGATGGGTAGATTTATAAGTAGGTAGGTAAGTGAACTTCAAAATAGAAGACAGGCACACACACACTCTGCCGCTTTGAGAACTCACTTTTAATTCACCTATTTGAAGACATTCCATCCCCTTTGGATTTTTCCAGACTTCTAAACTTGACCCTGGATAAAGTACTTCTGAAGGTGCCACCTAAATAAAGCTTTCAAGGGAAAGTGACATACAAGTCACCCAGGGCAGGGCCTCTCGGGCCCCAGAACAGCTTCAGCGCCATCATCAGGGTCCCCATCATCCTGGAGATTCGGACCCCTGTCTCTGCCAGTCATGGGTGCACGGGAAGTCCCAAGTCTGTCTCATCAGAAATCCCTTTGTTCAAGCTGTTTCAGGATGCCGTTTAGGGCGGGCCAGGTGCAGCACCAGAGGCTGTGAGGATTGTCCTGGTGCCCGTGCTGTCCTGCGTAGCCATTGTTCTTTCTATAGGAGCCTCATGCAAGCTCAGCCTCCTCATCTCTTACATGAGGTTGGCTTGGATGCTGGGCATGAGTTCTTCCCATTCTGACACCACCCACAGCATTAAGTCTGAGCCCCTCTGAGTGGACATCAAGACTGGTGATGGACCCAATCAGCCCCGTGCTGGGGCTCCAGTAAACCCAAACCACATTCTGCCCCCACAGTCAGCTTGGTGCCCACCTCACCATCCTCCCAAATATCCGGCCAGCAGACAGTGGGGCCCTGCTGTGCGCCCACCTGCCTTCTCTCCTGCACCTGCCTCTGGCTTCCCTGCACCCGGTCCCCAGGAGCTGTGTCCACACACAAACTCAGTCATGTCTTGCCCTGCTTTCAAGCCCCACAGCGGCTGTCCGCAAGCCCACATTGGCCCACCTGGCCCATATCCTCTCCAACCCGTTCCTGGTCACACTGCATGCTTCCTATTCATGGACCACACCTGTGGGTTCTCTGAGGCACCGAACATCTGCCTACCCAGGGCCTCTGCTGGAGTCACCTGAATTTGGCTGTCTTTGGGCAGGGCTGATTTTCCCCAGCACAGCAGGTCTGTGGGGGAGATGGAGCCACACAGGCCACCATGGCTTGGGGGTATTTCAGAGCTCAGACTTGTTAGAAGGAAGGCGGGATGATCCCGGGGTCAGTGCTGCCCCTGTTCTTTCGGATCAGGTAACCTGGGCTCGCAGCTGGTGGAATATAAAGAAGAAATGTACATCACATCAGACTGCGGGCACACCTGGCGGCAGGTAAGCTGGCTGGGAGGTGCCCAGCACCCCCCGCCCCGTTCAACCGTGACCCTCAGGAGACACTTCTGTTCTGTCATCCCGTCCATTCCAGTGGCTCTGCGGGAGCCGCTCTGAGCCGCGTCTCCTGTCCTGCAGCCAGCCCTCGGGGCTGGCCCGGGGCTCACTTTAGCAGATGTGCATCTGCCACATTTGAAAAGCCAGTCCAGGCAGACGGCTCGGACCACCCAGCTGGTCTTTCCATGGCCACCAATGGGGAGTGACAGACGCGAGAAACATCTCCACAGTTGGACGTGTCACTGCGAACGTCTGAGAAATGGGGATAAATGCCAGGGAACAGAAAGGGGAAGAGGTCCCGGCCAGGAGGCCATGTGGCACTTCCGAGACTTGCCTGGGACTCTTTCAGGAGCCCAGAGAGAGGCCAGGAGAAGGGTGCGGGGGGTTCCAGGTTCCTGGCAGGGACTGCGGACACAGCAGTGGAAGACGAGGCAGGGGAGGAGCAGGCTGTGGGGGTCATCGTGAGTCTGGGTCGGGGTATCTGGGGGCTGTCCCAGGGTAATGACTTGAGGTGGCACTTCCGAGAAGAGAAGGAAGCAAGGAAAGGAGGAGCACACTGACGCAGGAAGCGGCCACTCCAGCAGCGCAGCACGGCCTGGCAGGGTCCCTCTGTGCTCTCTGCAGCCCCACTCGAAGCTCAGATTTGCAGACTATGGTGCGCATAGCGAGGCCGAGGGAGGCCAGTTGGTGCCACCTGTCCTGTGAGGTCCCGGTAGCTCCAGGATCCAAGCCCAAGCTCCCCACTCCAGGAGGGGGCCCCTCCTCACTGTGCACTGGCCATTCCTTCCCAGTCGGGGGGCACATGGTCTTTCTGGCTGAAGTTGGCCTGCCAACCTCACGGAGTGGCAGTGTCTGCCTTCTATGCTGAGGAAATGAATCCAACTTACATGTAACTCTCTCCTTCCAGACAAGACATTCTGTTTTAGGTCAGTGTTTTACACGCCTGAGTACCCCAGCCACAGCCCCCTCCCACACAGCAGTGCTCTGGGCACATGCGACCACCCCAATGTGCAACCTTCACCAGCAGCCTGGGTGGAAGGCCTTGACAGTTTTTAAAAATATGCGAGAAACATGGAATTTTCAAAAGGGCAACAGCGATTTATTGTATTTTAATATTTCTATTTCACTAAAACTAGTGAAACATGCCTGAAGTTTCTTAAAGGTCACATCCGCCCATTTATTAGAGACGTTTCCCCCGTATCAGACTCAATAGACACGGTGAAATAGAAGGTTTTCTAATTTTATAGAAACTCATTACGAGACAGTCACAGCAGTCTCTCTGGTCGAGCAATTTGCTTCGATTTCGAACTTGGGAATGTGAGAAGTCAAAGGGAGAGCATCTGGAAAAGTGCCGAGCTGAGGCCTGGTCACGGCAGTGCCGGGGGCTCGTTCCCGTCCCGAAGGACGGTGGGGGGCGGGGCAGGCACCCACAGGGAAAGGGCCGGTGTGTGTGGCAGGGGAGGGAGACATGCTTCTGTGGGTTGTTTTTTTTTTTTTAGTTTCTTGGGATGGGCTGGAGAGGAAGGATGCCCAGGCAGGGCAGAGTGGTACAGTGGCACAGAGGGCAGGGCGGTGAGCCCGGGCAGTCTCCGCGGTTCCTCTGGCAGCCAGGTTGTCAGGGATGCATGGGAGATGCGTCTGAGAGAACTCAGAATACGAATGCGGAGCGCCAGCGTGCGTCTGGGGTAATCGACATAACCTTTCAAAAACATGAGCTCCGGAGGATCATCTGTTCAAAGCCAGAAAACATTACAGAGCCCCTGGCTGAAACTCAGTGTGGGAGAGGCAGGAAAAGGATGAAGCGGGGACAGGGACTCTGCTCTCCACACCCCCCCCCCAGCCCTGCTGCTTGGTCAAGGCATTGGAAACCACAGCAGTGGACGTCTGAAGACCCTGCAGCCCTGCTGGTGGGGTTTGGAAGACCCTGGAGCCCATTTACCCAGAGCCCCGAGCTAATGAGAGCAGATGTCATTCCCGGGATGCCGGAAGGCACCTCCCCGTGGGTGGTCGCAGCAAAGCCCCCCTGCCTGCGCTTGGGGAGGAGGGTGGCTGGGGCAGGTGTCCAGGGGTCCCAGTGCAGAGCCCTGGTGCGCACTTGCTCAGGGGGCCACCTCGGTACCAAAGAGAAATTGCACTCCAGGACTGTCAGGCTCTGGGAAGCCCACTGTCCCCTCGCTGCACCACACCCTGCAGTTCAGCAGCCCCGTCTCCTTCAGGGGACCCTCAGAGCAGCCGATTAGGCCCCTGGTGGAGTCAGTGAAGGCGGCTGCAACCACACCCTAAAAGGGCAGGGAATGGTGCTCGGGCGTGGCAGGTGAGCTTCGCCAAGAGGCCCCTCTCCTCCAGCCTCACGGCACCCAGCGTGATCTCCACTATCCTCCTGGCCACACAGGGGTTCCACTGCTGTCCCCACAAGGGAGACTCGCTTCTCTTCGGAGGATTCCTGAGACCCCCTCATGCGAGGGGGCCTTGCTTCTCCTGGAATGTTCCCCAAGACAGAGAGCTCACTCTTTCCTAGAGAGGAGCCGTTTACTTGGGAATTCATTTTCCTCCTAAATCAGTGTGGGAGCCTCTAACGAGCCCCTGCCCTGCTGGTCGGTCTCCCCCAGCGCCCCAGGAATCTTCCGAAAGGGAATGTGCTCTTGCCACTCCCTAATCACGCCTTGGGTGTCACACCGGCCTCTGAACTGCCTGTCTGTCCCAGGGCCTCTCCGTGTGCCTCCAGGGCTCCAGCCCCGGCACGCGCGTCCGGCTCCCTGGACACAGCTGCCCTCCTGACCTCCAGGCCTTTGCCTCTGTTAACTGCCTGTGATGCCCTTGCCCCTCCAAAGGTCACCCCAAGCTCCACCTCCTGCACTGTGAACCCCTCCCTGGGCTGCCCACTGACTCGCGTCTGGACTTTCCTTAAAACAAGATGTCATTTGTCCCCAGAACATTGGCTGAGCCCCTCGTCCTGTGGCAGGGCCCGGGCTGAACCCTGGGCTTGGGGTGGAGATGACAGGGTCCCTCTCTAGCTGCTGGTACCCAGTGGGCAAGTCACTGTCACTGTGCAGGGAGGGTCTGTCTCCTTGGGGGTCTCTCCCCAGGCTGTGAATTCCTAGAGACCAGGCTTGCATCTATGCCAGCACCCCAACGGAGGCCCCGGACCACTGGGTCTGTGGGATGGGTAGATGGATGGGGAGGAGACCTGTGGGAAATTCTTCCTCATAGTCCCCCAAAATCTGTGCCTGTGACACCCTAAAGCCTACAGGCCATTAGCTTGCTTGTCTAGGAAACAGTTTCTATGAATGTAGCTATAGGTGGTGTGCTTCTCCAGACACTTTCCTGAGCTGGCGTCAGGACAGAGGACCCGGGCATGCCCCCACTCTGCCCCCGGGCAGACAGGGCTGTGAACCCAGGCAGGAGCACAGAGTTTTGGGGGACATCTTGGAAGCCCCTAGGTTAACTCTGAGTCCCCACTCCAGCCTGTGACCCCATCACCCATAAGAGTATGTCCCCGCTTGTGTGGGGGCAAGATGCCTACAGACCCAGTCCCCATGGAAGGGGCAGGGGTTTGTGCCTGTCACCAGCTATGCGGCCTCAGGGAAGTCACTGTGTCTCTGAGCCCCAGTCTCTCTGGAAAATGGAGAATCATCTGAGAGCTTGACTGCTCTCCAGTAAGATCCTGTGTGCAGCTCGCCTCATGGGCACAAGGTGGCTGCCTGGATCCTGCAAGTCCCTGACGGGCAGCAGCACCCCCGCCAGGGAGGGGCTCAGTCCTGTTTGGTCCTGGTGGTTCCACCCACTGTGTCATTTTGTCTCACCTGACAGACCCCTACTCTAAACAGGAAGGAGGGAGGGGGGAAAACAGAGGGAAGGGGGAAGGGAGAGAGAGAAAAAAGAGGAGGGAGGGAGGAAGGAAGGGGGGAAGAGGGAGGGGGGAGACAGGAAGAGGAAGGAAGGTGTTGGGACACAACTGCCCACGCCCATCATTTTTCATAAGGAGCCTCTCCTCTTTATTCAAGGTCAACGTGCTTCCTGGAGAATTCCTAGGAGCCATGGGCAATGCCAGCCGACTCTGATGACCCGGGGAGGGGCTTTGCAGGGCGGGAGTGGCATGTGCTGAGGGCCCAGGTGTGTTTTGGGAAAGGATCGAGGTGAGCAGGGGTCCCTCCTATGGGGACCTGAGGCCATGGCAGGATTCGGGATTGACTCTAAGGGTCACGGAGCATTGGAAAGTTCTGGTGGCATTCAGGGGTATGGGGGTCAGGGGACCTGCTGGACACCGGGGCCGAGGGCGTGGCCTGCCAGCACCCACCGGGATCTGCTGGGGTTCATGTTCCTGCACTGTGGGGCCTCAGTCTGTGTCCTCCCTGCTGGCTCCTGGAAACCCCAGCGTTCAAACTCCAGGGGAGACTCCACAGGGACGGGCAGAGAGAAGACAGGGGCTTCTCTTTCATCATCCCCATTATGGTTCCCCAGCTGCCCTGGAATGTCCCCCTAGAGCCTGGGGTGCCCCCGGCTCAGCGCCCTGGGGACAGTGCACACGCGACCCCATTAGGCTCCACACCTGCTTGAAAGGGGTCAGCCGAGCCTCCTTACTTACCCCGCCCCACACACCCCAAATTGCTGCGTGTGTATCCCTGGAAGCTCTGCACAGCTGCGCCTCCCCGGCTTAGGAGCCTGGCTCAGGTGGACGTGTCCACGGTCCCCCAGGGCTCCCTGAGACTCTGAGCACACTGAGACAGATAAGCGCGCTGGCCCTAGTGGGGGTGCTTAGGGTGGCTGTCCTCTGTCCCTTCCTGGGCTTCCTTGTGCCCTGCTGTGGGCCACAGGCCTGGGAGACGGATGGGAGGAGGGTGGGAGGGCAAAAGGGGGTCACTTCCGAGGAGGAGACGTATGGGGCGAGGGTGACGTGGTGGAGACGTCACCTTGGTGCCCTTGCTGGGCAGTGCAGAGACACGAGCTGGCTGCCTGTACCTGCATGTTCACTGGAGATTTGGGGCAGGCCCCACGTGTCCTGGTGTGACTTTGAAGCCACACCCAGCTCCGCCACCTTCCAGCTGTGAGGCCCTGGTGTGCCCTCCACCCCTCAGAGCATCCTCACGTGTACAGAGGGACCCCATCCTGGGGCTGTTGGCCGACAGGCAAGGCCACCCTCCATGTCTCCTCCGTGGGAGCCCTGTCCAGGCCACTCACTCTTTCGTCCCTTGGGGATCTGGCGGTCGGTCGTTCATGCACTGTTCACTTATTCATTCCATACACACTCCCTGGGCACCAAGGTCTGGGCTGAGCTCTGGGGGGGCACAGAGGACTCAGAGCTGCCCTGTCTTTAGGAGCTTTGGCTGAAAGAGGCAATGTAGCATAGTAAGTGTTGGGGCAGGGGCTGGATCCTCCCTTCCCAGCCTGGCATCAGGGAAGGCTTCCTGGAGGAAATGGCACTTGGGCTGAGTCTTCATGTCAGATTGAGGTTTGCTTTGACTGATGCTATATATCCTAAATGCTATTCTAAGGTCTGCTGTTTCTTCCTCATCTCCATGTTGCTGGCACTGTTCGTGCATGGGTTTCACAGAGAGAAGGCTGCGGGCCATGCTCCTGGGTTTTTACACAGAGAGGGCCACGTGCCATGCTCCATTGCAGGTCCCTTGTTCGGGTCGATAGGGTAGAAGTTGCTGCCCACCATTCAGGCATCCAGGATGTGCTGGGAGAACTTGGAGATGGCCCGGGACAGGCAGGGAACCCTCGGACCAGCCCTGGCTTCTGCCAGTGCCACCCACTCCCGCCGTCTGCATGTTGACTACGCTCCTCCCAGGTGCGACTCAGCCTAGGACGACCTCCGAGCTCTCAGGGCCCCGCCTTCACCCCCCCCCGACTCTCCCCTGCAGGTGTTTGAGGAGGAGCATCACATCCTGTACCTGGACCACGGCGGGGTGATTGTGGCCATCAAAGACACCTCCATCCCCTTGAAGATCCTCAAGTAATGGCGTCTGCTAGTCCCAGGGCTGGGCGGGCGAGCTGTGGGGTGGGACAGAGCTGTTTCTTTCCACCTGGGAACCCTCTCAGACTATTCCCCAGAATGTCCTCCCCTCGGGGACACAGGACCACAGGGCGACAGCCCTAAACCCTAAAGACCAGGGCTGGGGCATGCCTCACAAACCCTTCCTGAGAGGTCGTCGGGTGGACTTTGTCCTGCCCTCGGGAGACGGCACAGAGGGAGGCGCCACCCCGCCTGGGGAGCCAGCAGGGCCTTCCCCGAGGAGGTGAGGAATTAGCAACCTGCGGGTATTGGGACCAGGTGACCCAGACGAGGAGGTCAGCAGCACGTGCCCAGGTGAGAGGGGCTGGCAGCTGAGGGCCTTCATGGGGAATGGAGGGCAGGCGTGAACTCGGGACCCAGAAGGCACAGCTGGAGCAGCTGCCAGGAAGCCAGTATCACTGTAGTCTGAAAAAGAGCTTACTCTTCCTCAAGATGGTGGCACTACAGTACCGGTCCTGCCTTGGGCCTGGCACCCTGGGCCAGGCTCAGGCGGTGGATGGGGCCATCCAGGGGATGCAGAGTGTCAGGGCTCGCAGCGGGAGGTGGGTCAGCAGATGTGACGGCACCTGCCTAGGCGAGGCAGCTACGGCCCCCGCGGGGCAGAGGAGACTCGGGGAGCATTCCAGCCCGCCCGGAGACACTGATGCCCTTCTCCTGCAGGTTCAGCGTGGACGAGGGCCTCACCTGGAGCACGCACAACTTCACCAGCACCTCGGTGTTTGTGGACGGGCTGCTGAGCGAGCCAGGGGATGAGACGCTGGTCATGACGTGAGTGCCGGGACAGGGGAGTGGGTGCTGGGCGGTGGCACAGAGAATTCCAGCAGGCAGGCCGTGCTGGGCCTCCTGTGTCCTTCACCCCCCAGCCACCTGGGAATCAGGGACATCTGCCACCTGCCCCGGGTCCACTGGCTGGCGAGGGCAGGACCGAGATTCCAGGCCGGCTCCACCATGGCCACAGCACCTCTCGAGCCAGTGATCCTGCCATGAGTATTACCATCTGTTGGCACCTTTCTCAGCTATATGGCACGAAGGTCATAAGGCTTAGGGCCTGACACCCAGACAGGCCAGTGCAGGGCGGAGCTGGCTGTGACCTGCCTGTCACCCATCCTGGGATCTGAGGCTGCTGCCCTGGTCCTGCCTGACTTCCTTCTGCTCAGCCCCAGCTTGGGCCAAACAAGGCACCATGAGGGGCAAAGGGGCCTCAGGAGCCTCTGTCATTCACAGCCTCTCTGCCCCAGGAGCAGAGACATGGAAGACACTGAGGACATGCAGGGTTTGACTGTACCGCTGAGGCTGTAGTGGGGAAGAAGGTGGTCCCCAGGAGCCAGTGAAGTGAAGGCCCCTCTGGGCACCTCCAACCATGAGCACCCGTGAGAGCCCAACTGATTCATGGCTGGGCGGGGCCTGCATGTCTAATGGCTCCTGCGACCCCACGCTGCGGCACAGTAGGCCACCATGTCCTCTTCCTGCCTTTCACGGCAATGCCTGAGATGTTTGAATAGAGTTTCCCAAATTCATGTGCCCCCCGGAACCGTGGATGGGCCCTTATTTGGAAATAGGGTCATTGTAGATGTGATGAAGCCAAGATGAGACCCCAGAGGAGGGCAGACCCCAACCCAGTGACTGTCCTGACGGGAGGAGGGCACAGACGGACCCGGGAGGAGGCTGGGGGGAGGATGTGGGGGAAAGCTGTGCAGCTGCCAGTCTGGGAACGCCTGGCCGCAGGTGGAAGGGGCAGGAAGGCTCCTCCCCTCGAGGCCCTGGAGGGAGCTCAGCCCTGCCAACCGCAGTTTCAGCCTTCTGGCCTCCAGAGCGCTGAGAGCACGTGCGCAGTGCTTCAGCGTGGGAGAGTGCGTGTGATGACCGAAACCAGCAGAGTTCACGGTCATTTACCAAAGTGGCCCCAAGAAGCTGCCACAGCAGCCATGACTCTTCCGCCTTGAGGTGGGGCTCAGGGACATTGGACGCCTGGATTTGGGATACCTTGTCCCCTTCTCTGTCCTTTCTGGAGCAGGCAGGCCCTGCCCTACCCCTTCCCTGTAGAATAGTCGGGCGCTGTGCCCCTCACCCCTGCCCACTCGGCTGGAGTGGCCGTGTGCTCTGTGGCAGGTGTGGCTTTATGACCTGGGACTGGTTCTCTGCCTGTGGCTTCTGCAGGAAGTGCTGGCCTGGCTCACTCATCAGTTCACACCCCGAGTTCTCCCTTCCAGCTGGCAATGGGCCTTCATGCCCTTGACCCCGACTGCGTCTTCTACTGGCCCCTGAATGACCCACAGGGGCCCACAAAGATAAGCCCCCAAGAATGCCTGACCCCATCCCCAATCTCCCTCCATGTGCCCCGCCCTCCCCAGCAGGCACACAGCTCCCAGGAGGCCATGGGGACACAGCTCCAGGCGGTGGGGAGCAGGCCTGGTTTTGGAAAGAAACTGCCCAGTTGGAACAATGCTGCCCACCCTGCCCAGGTCGGCGTCTTCCCAGACAGGGGTGAGGCCGGGCTCTGCCTGGGCAGGGGTGAGGCCAGGGTCTCCCTGGGCAGGGGTGAGGCTGGGCTCTGTGAACAGGAGTGAGGCTGGGGTCTGCCTGGAAGGGGTGAGGCCGGGGTCTGTAGACAGGGGTAAGTCTGGGGTCTGTGGACAGGGGTGAGGCCGTGGTCTGCCTGGGCAGGGGTGAGGCTGGGCTCTGCCTGGGCAGAGGTGAGGCCGTGGTCTGCCTGGGCAGGGGTGAGGCTGGGCTCTGCCTGGGCAGGGGTGAGGCTGGGCTCTGCCTGGGCAGGGGTGAGGCTGTGGTCTGCCTGGGCAGGGGTGAGGCTGGGCTCTGCCTGGGCAGGGGTGAGGCCGGGCTCTGCAGGGCCAGTGTGTCCCCTCATTTGTCGGGGAGGTTGGGCAGACACAGCCCCTGAGCTCCCCTGGCTGCTGCGGCTGGAGCTGGGAGCACAGTCCTGGAAGACACCAGCACTGACCCCCGCTGCTTTCATGCCCACCACCCCTCACACCCACCCACACTCAGCCAGTTCTGCTGCTTGACAGTGAAAGAAACTGAGGCTCTGAGAGGGGAGGTACGTCGGCTAATGTTGCAGGGGAAAGCCTGTGGCTGAGTCCAGCTCAGACGGCACTCCTGGGCAGCTCTGTGGGCAGCGGCCTGTCCTCTCCGGGCAGAGCAGAGATGGGAACCCCTTCAAGGCTGCTCCTCTGCTCTGCTGTCATCCAACGTGCATTTATTGAGCACCTACTATGTGCCAGGTGCTGTTTGAGATGCCAGGAGGGTCAGCAACACAGCACACACCAGCCCTGGCTTTAGGGACATCTGGTGATGGAGAATGGGTACTTGTCCTCACACTCAGAGGACACCTAGCCTGCCTCCCAGCTCCTGGCCAAGAAGCATGGAAGCTGGACGTCGGATTTGGCAGCAAAAAGCCCTCGGTTCCAGCTGAGCCAGGGTGGGAAGCCAGGCTTCGGGAAACCGAGATCGCATGGGGCAGAAGGACAGGGACGCGCTGAGTGTGGGGAGCCCTCTCGAGGTGTTTGAGATGAGAGGGTCAGCAACTGTGTGAACTTCTGCCACCTTCAATTCCGTCCCGGCCCAGGAGGACCTTTCCTGCCACCAGACCTGGGCTGCCTGGCCTCACCCTCCGTGGATCTGATCCCGTCTGCAGGGCTGCCCTTGCCCGTGACTGTGCCCGCCCAGGGCTCCAGGAGGGACCGACTCTGCCGGCGTCACTGGTGCGTCCCCTGGACAAGCACAGCACCGGGCGTGGAAGAGGGGCTTGGCGCTCAGTGAACGTGGCTTGAATAGCTACATGGTGACACACCAGCAAGGGTGACGCAGGGGCGGAGACAGGCGCTCGGGGGGCGAACCTGTGCACGCACCACCCACGGGGGCCTGGCTGGGGAGAGGAGAGCTGGGCCGATCACCCCCAGGACCAGGGCCCAGCCAGTACGGCTACAGGGCTCGGCCGCCATCTCCAAATCAGGGTGCTTCTCTCCAAGCCGATGTCCCTGGGCACACGCCCTGCACCTCGGTCTCCACAGCCCTGAAATGGGAGGTGAGTCAGCTTGAGGAGCTGCCCAGGAAACCATCGTTCCCTTCCAGACGCCTTGGCTTCCTTGTCTGTAACATGGGGGACGTCGCCCCCGCCCCCCAGGTCACCGCAAATGAGCCCTCAACTGATGCCACCTGTGATGCTTGGGGCCTTCTCACCTCCTGGGTGATGAGCAAGAAGTCACCTGCTTTGACTCTGATAGAGAGGCCTGGTTTCCGCCCACTCCGCAGCAGACAGAGGTCCCACTGGCCTTCCCGGGACGTGCATTGTGGTGGGATTGAGGGGATGCTCGGGACAGCTCTGTCCTCACCCGGAGTCCTGGGCAGCAGGAGCACTATTCCCAAGAAGGTGAGGGTCCCCTCACTGGTCTCACTGAGCACCCAGAGCTCGCTGCAGGTGGGTCCCGCCAGCCAGCCGACCCTCGATCACGCGTCCGTGTGTTCTGGATGACGTGTGATGGCTCCTGGGTGGGCTTGTCCTGCAGCACCTGGGAGGACGCTGAGCCTCTCCCCTCCCCGCACGGTCTGGGCAGCATCTTCCCCTTCTTGGACCTCCTGTCCCAAGTCGTCCCTCCGTCTTTACCAATGTGGTCTCCTGTGACGGCGGCCCCACCGCCTGCTCTGGGCTGTTTTCATACATGACCTCATGCCATTCTCATAAGAAACCCGGACAGACCCATTTATTCCCCCATGTTTAAAGATGTCAACCTGTCTCAAAGGATTCATCCCTAAGGGAGGGGTGGGAAGGGGGGACCCTGGGAGCCTGTCCTGTGAAAATGGGGTGAGGACAATCACCCTCCCAGTCTCTACGGGTCCTGACGTTCCCCGGCCCGGTTCCTCCCTGCTCTGGCCGGGCCCTGGACACACGAAATCCTGCATGACTTTCGCTCACTCTCATGCCGCTGGAGGTCGTGGTCTGGGATGGGACACACAGCTGCAGGACCTCCTGTGGCGTTTTCGGGGAGGGGGAGCGAGGGAGGAAGGGCGCCTGGCCGCCAGGCACTCTGTGCTCCACTCACGGTGTGGACCCTTCGTGTGGTCAAGCTGTTCCTGGGGCCAGAACCCACAGAGCTGGAGGAGCCAGCCGTGCAGGGGTGAGGGCCGCCCTTACTCCTTACACAGAGGTCAAGCTGCTTCTCCAGGCCTCAGCTTGCCCGGCCGAGAGATGGGAGCACTTTCCACCGGGGAGCCTTGAACCAGTGTGTGTCTGCAGGGTGCCAAGCCCTTCACCGCGGCTGCCATCAGGCCTGAGCCCTGGTGAAGACCCAGAGATGAGCCAGCCTTCACCCCCCACCCACAGACAGGGCAATTTATCCAAGAAGGAAAATGGAATTCCCAGGCAGGTGCTGTAACCTTTTCAGTTTTCTCTAAAGCATCAGAACAGTTCTGCCAGACCCCTGGTTACAGTGCTGCGCTTCAGACAGCTTCCCAATCCCAGTCAACGTACAAAGAATTCAAACAGCCAGCGAGGGAGCGCCCGCAGGTCAGAATGCAGCTCCCTGTGTGAGGCCTGTGCGGGCGCGGCCCTGCTGGGGCGCCCGGCTCACACCGAGCTCCCCTGGGCTCAGCTTTCCACCACCCTGTCCTTCCTGGATAGCTGTTTTGCCCAAATCTACCCAAAGACCACCTCTAACCTGGCCGGAGGCACCTTTTGGGGCTCTTCCCTGGCACTGCTCACTTTCACCTGCTTTCCCCGGCCCGCGCCCCAGCGTAGCCTTCGAGCAGGGAGGGGTCCGCAGGCCCTGGGCTTGGGTGAGAGGTGCAGTGGGGGCTCCCGGAGCCTTCCCCAGCCACGGGGTCCAACCCTCACAGCGCAACCCATTTTTCCTCATTAGCTACAGAGTCATATGCAGGCCCCTTCGGCAGCTCTTTTCTAGGACCCAGAATTAACTGGATGGCAGGTATTTCTCGTGGTATCAGCTGAGGGTTTAGGTTTCACAGAAGGGGGGACTTCAGAACGGTGGAGGGGTCATTCATCAGCCAAACGGGCCTCTCTGCTCTGCCCCAGCTCCGAACAGCGGTGAGACTGGGGCCTCCCCGGGGTTTCTGCAGCCGTGGGGCCGTCGCTGTCACGCGCAGCCAGCGCCCGCCGTGTTTCCGCGCAGAGCCTCACAGCTGCGGAGCCTCCAGCCCGGGTTCCAACGCTGGCCCCTCCAGGAAGTGGCCTGAAGCTGTGCTGCCCTGGGTGGGTCCCTGGCCTCAACCTCAGTTTCCTTGTCTGTAAAAGGGGGCTTTGTCAAGGAGGAAACGGGGGGATACAAGGTAGAGCGTGTGCCCAGACTGCAGCGGGTGCTCCGTACACAGCGGCGGCTGCTCCGCAGTGCCTTTCATGATGCCACAGGTGGCAGAAGCGCATGAGGATGCACTCGGAGATCCAGAAGTTGCCCCTTAAAAAGCATTTCTTCAGTGAGAGAAGACCTCGGAGTGCTGACAAGGCCAGTGCAGCAGGCTTTGTTTGGACCGCAGTGTCGAAGGAAGAGACCCCGTGTGCTGAACTGGAGCTCTCCAATGTCGAGGGCATCCAAGTGGCACCCGTCAGGAGACAGACAGCAAGTGGGACCTCATCCCGATCACAGGTGCCCTGGAGCCGAGACCATTCACAGCTGGGGTCACCATGCAGGCCACGAGATTCCTGTGGGAAACCACCTGCAGAAGCAGGCAGACGTGGCAGTCACAGCCACGCCTGGGGACCTCCCCCTGTCCTTGGCGGGCATTGCCACCAGCAGCTAGGAGGGCTTACGTCCCCTCTGAGAAAGAAAAAGTGGCCTGGGGCTCTTGACCTCCACGTGCAGGGAAGACCACAGACGGAACTGTGAGCCCAGAACCAAGGGCCCGGCTGGAACGAGGGCTGGCAGCCACGTGGCAGGAATGTGGGGCGGAACCAGCCTGGCCGCTCCTGCGACGAGCCAGCCTTAGGGGAGCACAGGGAGGCAGGGCCCCAGGGAAAGGTCAGGAGGAGACAGAGGGAGGCCCCATGCCCAGCCCGCAGAGGCTTAGGGTTTCATCAAACAAAGATAATAGTGTCTGCCTCGTGGGACTTCTGGGGAGTGGAGGCAAATACGAGGTCACAGATGTAGTTCAAGCGTGAACCGCACAGGCCTGCCAGGCTCAGAGGTGCCCCGTGGAGCCAAACCTTCAAATATCAGCCTCAGACACACAGGCCCCGCCATCATGTGCTCAGAAATACCTACGAGACCGTTCTCAACACCGCCCTAGAATGGGGCTGTCCTTTCAGCCCACGATGGGCCACCCCCGAGTATCCAGGTCCGGTTGGAGGTGCTCAGACGGGGGCTCGACTGGAGCAGCAGGCATCACCTCCCCCACCCAGATGCTCGGCCTCTGATAACGCGGCCGGAGCACCACAAGCTGGACTAGAGGAGGCCCAGGAAAGAGCAGGCTGGGCCCACCTTCTGGGGTGGCCTTTGGAGCCTAAGTGTGGGGTGCTGGGGGATGGAGTGGGAGGCGTCCAGCCAGCAGCCCTCCCCGAGGGGAGACACTGGGACACCCAACTGCCATTCTGGGTGATGGGCACTCAGCAACGACTGCTGAGTGTCAAGGACGGAGAAGGAACAGCACAAACAAGCTGTGTGACCTTGGGCAAGTTACTCAACCTCTCTGTGCCTCGGCTTTCCATTCTGTAAAACGGGCGGACCCAGCCCAGCAGGCTGTGCTTCCAGCACACACGGGTGTGCCCTGAGTGGCCAGCCTCCCTATTCTCTTCCCCCACTTCCTCTGTTGCTCTGCCCACCTCGGCCGTGATGGGTCAACCCTGCTTCTGCGGGCTCTGAGCTCGGCCTGCTGACTCGTTCTTTCTCTTTGAATCGCCACCTCTACTAGGGAGCAAACGCCCTGTGGCCCAGAGATAGAAAGCTGGGTTTCTGCAGCACAGGACCCTCACACGGTCAGGCCGGAAGGAAGCCAGCCAGCCAGCCACAGACGCAGACCCCTGACCACAGACCATTCCGCAAAGCCTAGTGCAAGGACCAGTGTGGAGGCCGCGGAAGGGCTCTGACGGCAGCTAGGAGGCCAGGGCTCTCAACCCTGCTGTGGACCTGGGCCTCCTTTCCTGTCCATCAGGGAGGAGTCAAGGGGGGTCAACCAGAGTGGCCCGTCCCAGTGCAACTGACACGTCAGATCACGGGTGGTAGTTGTGGGAATATTCACGAGAAGGTCCACGGAGCACCCGTGCAGGGCCACGCTCAGTGCCCGGGGCAGCCTCGCTCTGATCCCCAGCAAGGGCGGGAGAGGGATTTCGGTGCCCGTGGTACAGATGGGAACAGAGTCCGGACGGGACATGGTTTGCACAGCAGGACAAGGCCTAACGAAGGTGGTTTCTCTCTCTTCCCTCTGCTCCCCGCCCCAGGGTCTTTGGCCACATCAGTTTCCGCTCTGACTGGGAGCTGGTCAAGGTGGACTTCCGGCCCTCATTCTCCAGCCAGTGCATCGAGGAAGATTACAGCTCCTGGGACCTCTCCAACCTGCAGGTGGGCCGGGACGCGCTGGCATCGGGCAGGCCGGGGGCACACTGCAAACGCAGGCCCACTCTGCCTGCCAGAGAACTCCCGGGCAAGCACCTCCCTGCCTCCAAGAAGTCTTCCGGGAATCCCAGTGCCTTTAGGTGTCCAGGCCTCCTGTGGACTTCCTAGACCCTTCCGGGTCATGGGGCTACCTGGGCTGAGGGTCCTCAGCCACACTTGGGGAGTGTAGGGCCACAGGCTCTATCCCAGGCCCGTGGAGTCCAGTGTGCTTGGAGGTCAGGATTTTCAATCTTAGGAAGGTAACACAGGCCTGTACCATACGAGACAGTTGGGCCTGGGTGTGGAGTGGGGTCTGGGGCAAGCCCTCCCTGTAATGGAGACACATAACTATTTCCATGGCACGTGCGTAATATCGACGCTAAGCGGAGTAAGCATCAGTGCCACTGTGTAGTTCCAGTCGGGCTGTGCTGTTGGCGGTGTGGGAAGCCTGGGATTTCGGAGCGTGGGGATTTGGAACTGCCAGGGGCTGGGTGGCTCTGTTAAAGAAGAAATGATTCACTAGCACTTGTTAAAGCACGGGGTGGAAGACTTTACTCCGGGCCATCACGGTGGGCACAGGGACCCTCTCCAAGGAGAGACTGGGCTCAACTTGAATTCAGCATGGGCAAATGGAGTTCAGAGCCTAGGTCAGCGGGTGGAAACTGACCAAGAGGAAGCAGGAGGCATCGGAGGATCTGACGTCTCCTGGGGGCAGCAGGGGACGAGCAAGCCTGTCTGACAGGGAGGGTGACCGGATATCGAGGGTGGGCACTGCTTGCCAGGCTGTCTTAGCAGGGTGCCTTGCTGAAGCTGGATTTCACAAGGAAGTGCTCTGATGGGCCTTGAAGGAGGTCCAAGAGCCCTGAAAGCTGTGGCTCCACCCAGCTCCCCGCACAGCACCTGAGGGGACGGGGGGGAACCCCAGCAGGGCTGCACTTCCAGCAGCTCTGCGACCCCTTGGGCCCAGCCAGGGCTACACACAGGAGGGGCTCAGCGAATGCCTGTGGGTTGAGATGAGAGGGAGCCTTCCCCAACTTGACCTCAGACATGCCACACTTCATTCTGGGCCTCAGTTTCCCCATCTGTAACCCGAGGCATCAGCCATCTTCAGTCTCTGGCAGGCTCAGTGCCACAAGCCCATGTCGAGCAGTTGACCTGTCGCGGGCAGCTCCTCACCCTGATGTTCCTGCTGCAGGGTGACCGCTGCATCATGGGCCAGCAGAGAAGTTTCCGGAAGAGAAAGCCCACGTCCTGGTGCATCAAGGGGAGGAGTTTCACGTCAGCACTCACATCCCGTGTGTGCGAGTGCCGGGACTCGGACTTCCTGTGGTGAGCAGTGGGCTCCGGGCCACGGGGCCTCAGGCACTGCTTGAGCATCCTCCCAGCATGGCGGCCGCTGCCCCCAGACTGAGGGAGGAAGCGTCAGTGCCTTTTATAACCTGGTGTCAGAGTCAGGCACGGCCACTTCTGCCTCATTCTGTCTGTTAGAACCGAGCCACCAAGACCAGCTCACGCTCCAGGAAGGAGCTGTAGGGAATTTGTGGCTGCATTTGAAACCCCTCAGTGGCAGCTCACGGGCAGGAGGAGAAAGTGAGGAACAGGTCAGGGCATCTAGGGGATGTGCTGCAGCCACCGTGGCCCTTCTCCATCCAGGGGCTCTGCTGAAAGCCACCCAACCTGTCCCCTGCTGTTCTCAAAAGCTGCCGGTGACTGCCCAGGGCCCACAGGGCAATTTGGCTGACAGCTCACCCACCTGCCACCCACCTCACCCCTCCCCATCCTGCCCCCTGGCATTCCAGCCTCCTCCGCCTGTGCTGATGCTGCTCAGGCTGGGCCCTGCCAGCAGTGCTTCTCTCTCTTTCCTTACCTGTCTCTGTCCATCCTTTGAGATTTGCTCACCTCCACCAGGCAGCCCTCCAGGTTTCTCTGAGTTTCTAGCATCTCTTTGCCTCCCTTGTCACCCTGTGTCCCCCTCTGGGATGGGGCTCTGGGTGCTCCTTCATGTCCTCACAAATGGGTGTACAGCAGGCCCTTGGTATGAGGGTCCCTTGTCAGCTCCCCCAGATTTCACCCCAACCTTAGCTGACTCCAGTTCCCACCTGTGCCTGTCACCTACTGCTGCTCTTCCCTCCTCCCAGCGACTACGGATTTGAACGCTCCCCCTCCTCAGACTCCAACCCCGACAAGTGCTCTGCCAACTTCTGGTTTAACCCACTGTCCCCGCCCGACGACTGTGCCCTGGGCCAGACCTACGCCAGCAGCCTCGGGTGAGTGTGGGCGCAGGCCTCTCCCTGCCTGAATCCGGGGGCAGAGTGTGGTGCAACCCCGAAACGGTGCCTTCCTGGCTGGCACCTGCAGCTCCCAAGGTCAAAGCTGAGGACGCCCTGTGTTCACAGCGCAGAGCCTGGCTGTGGGGCTCATGGGAGTCACCAGACATGACGAATGAATGACCTTAGAACCTGCGGGGTTCTCCCAGCTGAGCCCTTGTGGGCAGTGCCAGGAGAAGGCTGCCTTGGGCTGGCTCTGGACAGAGAACAACAGACGGAAAAGGCCCGGGGCACCCGCGGCTCCCACCTGAGGCAGCACATCTTCCCCTGGTATTTCTGAGCCTCTGCAGTGCTAGGACGCTTCCCCATTTACCAGTGCCCCAGTAAGCCAAGCCCTCCCCAGTCACCAAAGCTTGGGTGCTGGAGGTGCTCCTGCTGTCTGCAGGTCTCTGTTTAAATGGCACTTCCTCCAGGAAGCCTTCCCTGACCACCCACTCCTGACCCTGAGATTACCTCTGTCACAAATCCCAGCTATTGTCATCACCCACTTAATTGTCTGCGTTGCTGAACTGTAAGTTCCACAACACATCGTAGGTGTTCCTTCAGTCTGCGGTCTGCTAAATACAAGCTGTGTATGACGGGAAGGTGTCAGCAAGTGCCGGCCGCTATGACACTTTCCCTCCACCAGAGGCTGGGCACATTGCTCTGAAGGATTTAGTTCATGTAGAATGTTAAGTACGTAAGAGCTGTGGGCCTTCCTCCTCAGGAGGTCCCAAACACGCTCCATCGAAAGGTCCCAATTTCCCCATTTCTCTATGAGGACGTTTTCAGAGAGGAAGAGAAAAGCCCATGGGTGTATTAGAAAATCCCCGTTTCTTCCCCTGGGGAACATGAGGGAACAGGAGGCAGGACCAGAAATTACAGGCTTCGACCCCACTGGCGTACCTCCTGCCATCCACCCACACGTCCCTGCGGTCACCCAGCATCCCCCATCTACTCATTTATCCATCCATCATCCAGTTAGCCACATCTGCCATTTATCCAGCCATTCAGCCATCCACCTTTCCATTCATCCTTCCATTCTTCCAAGCATTCGGCTACTATCCACGCATCCCTCTATCCATCCATTTACCCATCCATTCATTCATCTGTCCATCCACCATCCACCTATTCATTCACCATCCATCTATCCAGCCGTCATCCATCCATTCATTTACCTATCCATCTATCCTCTCATCAGTTCATCCATCCATCCTTCCAAGCATTGATCCACTATCCACCCACCCACCTATCCATCTATCATCCATTCATCCATCTACTCATCCATCTGTCCGTCCATTTATCCATCCATCCATCCATTCATTTACCTATCCATCTATCTACCCATCAATTCACCCATCCTTCCTTCTAGGCATTTGTCCACTATCCACCTACCCGTCTATCCATCCATCATCCATTCATTCCTCTACCCATCCATCTGTCTATCCACCATCTGTCTATTCATTCACCATCCATCAATCCATCCACCCATCTATTCACTCAATTACCTATCCATCTATCCACTCATCAATTCACCCATCCATCTTTCCAAGTATCTATCCACTATCTACCCATCCATCTGTCCATCCACCATCCATCTCTTCACCATCCATCCATTCATTTACCTATCCACCCATCAATTCACCCATCCACCTGTCCAAGCATTTATCCACTCTCCACCCACCCACCCACCTAACCATCCATAATCCATTCATCCATCTATCCATCCACCATCTGTCTATTCATTCATTCACCATCCATCGACCCACCCATCTACTTATCTATCCATCTGTCTACCCATGCACCCATGTATCATGAAGCTGTGGTGGTCTCCCGTGCACGTCCACTGGAGCTTGATGACAGGGACTCTTGTCTAAAGTGTCAGAGCCAGGACCTTTATCAAGGCAAAGGGTTTCATCTCATGCCATCTGCTCAGTGTAGGTGCTGTGTGTGGGTGGTCCTTAGAGAAGTGTATTTTCTGCCAGAGCACTAATGAAATGGGACTGTGCGTGATCACCTTCTGAATGCTTATTCAGTGGCTGAGCCAGCTGGGAGAATTTGGCCCTGAGGGCAAGAGGGGGGCCGGCGTGGGGGAGAGAGATACCCCTGGCACCTGGGCAGCAACGCTACTTTCCAGGACTCAGAATCCTAGCGTTGTCTGAGGGAGCTTCACAGGTCTCAACTGCATGAAGCCACTGCGGGGTGGTTTTCAGAGGCTCCTAAAAGCTCACCCAGGGCCCCTCTCCACCTCATGCCACACCTTCTCCCTCTCTGGGCTCAGCACCCACCCTAGGGCCTTTGCACATGCCGTTCCCATGGCCTGGGATACTCTTTCTTCTCGTGCTCACCCTCCCAGTCTCAGCTGAAAGCCCCTTCGTCAGGGACCAGGTCCCAGGTGTGCCCGGCCAGCGCTGCCATGGCTGCAGGTTCACTCTGACGTGATCTGCTCAGGTCCACTCTCCACTAGATGCTCTGCTCTGCACACCATCCAGAGGCTGCATGTGATCACCCACGTTCCCAGTGCCTGGCCCATAATGGATGCTCAGTAAAGGGGTGTCTCGTGAATGCAGTGATGAGTCCGCCACCCAATCCAGCTCTCTCAAGGGAACAGGGAGACAGGGCCCAAGAGGAGGGGTGTGTTTGCGCACAGTTCTGGCCACGCTGTGAGCCAGCGGCAAGGTGGAGGCCGGATCCCAGCCCCTCTCGAGTACTCTGTCCTCCACCTTTCTCAGCAAGACCATGACATTCCAGCTGTCTGCTGAAGGCTCCCCCTCCGCAGCACTAACGGTGGCTGTGGTTATTACTGTGAGTAACACGACCGGACCAAGGAGACGCCAGTGCCTCCAAAGCACACCCTGCCACCATCAATCCCTCCTCCTCTGAGCCTCAGTGTTCTCATCTCTAAAATGGGGCCGTGGCAGCAGTTGCGTGGAGTCAGTAGGTGGCTGGGAGTTAGTAAGTAGAGCCCTAGGGGTGGGAAGCCAAATGCCACCTCTGGGTGGCAAGCACATCCCTCCCCAGACTACAGGGCCCCATCCCTGGCCACCTGGCTCCAGTGGGCCCTGACCCTCTCTTGTCAACCCAGGTACCGGAAAGTGGTGTCCAACATGTGCGAGGGGGGCGTGGACCTGCAGCAGGCTCCCGTGCAGCGGCAGTGCCCCCTCACCCCGCCCCGCGGCCTGCAGGTCAGCATCCGAGGCGAGGCGGTGGCCGTGCGACCTGGAGAGGACGTCCTGTTTGTGGTGCGGCAGGAGCGGGTGAGTGAGCACCTCCCAGCGGGCTCCCGGGACTGTCGGGCAGGGTCGGCTCCAACTAGACACAGAGAGGGCATGGTGAGGGGGTCTCCTCTGCCTGGAAGTGGCTCAGGGCGTCGCCGTGGGCCAGCTTGTCCGGCCTGCAGGAGGCAGCAGAGGATTGAAAGTCCACTTCCTGGGTCCAGCCCATCATTTAACAATGAGACACAGAGGAAAAACAGAACAGGGCGTGGGGAGTATCAGGTGCCCGCAGAGCAGAAGGAGACGGTTTCATACACGGGGGGGGGGGCGGGGCGGTGGTTCCTGGCCTTGGTATAAAATGTATTCATTCCCGTGGGCAGCAGCACATTTTTGAAGCCGGTAATTATACTGATTTAGTTAATTTGGGATCTTATGAAAAACAGCAAGTTAAAAACACCATGACTTATAATTACACAACCCAAGATAAGTCCTGTGTGTGCATGGACAGACACTGATGGAAATACTCACACAAACACAGATCGAAATTTCCTCCCAGCCTCCCACGCTTGCTTTTTTTTTTTTTTTTTTTTTTTGCTTTAGAACAAGTGTTACATTTTCTTCTGATGTTAAAAATAATGAATGTTCATTGTAGAACGTTTGGAAAACACACAAAATATCACGGGTATAAATATCTCTCAAAAGTCCCCCCCAATCCTCCGTGGTAACAACTGTTTAGTTTTCCATCTTTCCTTTTAGTCTTTTTAAATTCATTTGTAACATGCTTATTTTTCTGACTCTAGAATAAACTAATGCTCATTGTAGCAAATGCAAAACCAAAACCTAGAAAAACTTACAAACAGGCAGAAAATCCAAGATGACAGAAAAGGACAAAGGAGAGTTCGAGGCCCCAGTGTCGCACCCGAGGAGGGGCGCCCCGAAAACCCTGGGCTCTCTCCTGGCACACAGCTTTCCTGGGCGCTTGGCTCTTTGGTGAACAGCATGGGGTATGCAGCAAGTGTGGCTTCACAGTGACACGTGTCCTGTTTAAATGGCCTTCAAAATACACTGCCAAGGTGGGGTGGGATGTTGGTGACAAAGGTCTTTGGAGTTGAAAAGCAGGGAGCCTGGTCTAATGCAAACAGGGAAACTGAGGCCCAGGAGCACGCAGAGCGGTGCTTGCCAGCGCCTCCGTGGGGGGCGCCGTGCACAAGCCACTGCCTGTACTCCTGGCACAACCTCGAGTGATGTCCTCTTGCCAACCTGCTTTATAGCTGGGGAAACTGAGGCTTGGACACTCCCAAGGCCACACAGGAATGAGTGGCAGGGCTGGCATTGGGTCCCCGCCCCGAGACTCCACGTGGACAGTCTAGGCACCCAGACCCGAGCGCTTCCCTGGTGCAGGCGCTGCTGCTGACGGAGACCGGCCCTGGGACCCACACTCCTGAGGCAGGGGCAGCCCTGGGCGCCTCTGTTCGCAGCAGCATCACGGGGTGGCAGGAGGACAGAACCGCTGCCCGGCCTGGACCCTCGGAGGGGACCCCCTGCAGCTCCCTGTCCAGGGCCGACTTCCAGGAAAAACGGCCCTCTGCTGCCCCCTGGAGCCTGCGTCTCAGCAGCACAGTCGCGTCTGCAGAGTCTCCAGTGGGACCCGGTCTACACCCGCCCAGGGGCCAGGACCTTTGCTGGGACTGCTCTGTGGGCAGGAGCTGGAGTTGGCGGAGGCAAGGAGAGTGATCAAAGATGTTCTTGGTGGGGAGAGTCGCCCCACTGGGCACCTGCTGTCGGGAAGAGGCCACCCGCCACACTAGGGAAGGGGTGGGAGGTGTGGGATCTGGGGTGGCACACTCACTGGTGCACATGCTCACACATACAAACTCACACCCAGACACACATACGCCTACAGCCTCATGTATTCACACAAACCCACACCCAGACACACATATGCCTACACACACACACAGTCACACCCAGACACACGTACACCTACACACTCACACATGCACATACACCCAGACACACATATGCCTACACACACACACAGTCACACCCAGACACACGTACACCTACACACTCACACATGCACATACACCCAGACACACATATGCCTACACACACACACAGTCACACCCAGACACACATACACCTACAGGCTCACGTATACACACAAACTCACGCCCACACATACCTACACGCTCACAAATACACACAAACACACCCACACATACGCCTACAGGCTCACGTATACACACAAACTCATGCCCAGACACACATATGCCTACAGGCTCATGTATTCACACAAACTCACACCCAGACACACATACGCCTACATGCTCACGCATACACACAAACATCCAGACACACATACACCTACACACACATACACAGTCACACCCAGACACACATACGCCTACATGCTGACAAATACAAACTCACACCCAGACACACATATGCCTACAGGCTCATGTATACACACAAACTCACACCCAGACACACATACACTTACACGCTCACACATACACACAAACTCACACCCAGACCCACACACACCTACAAGCTCACATACACGCAAGCACACCCAGACACACCTACACGCTCACACATACACACAAACTCACACCCAGACACATACGCCTACATGCTCATGCTCATACAAAAGCACACCCAGACACACATATGCTTACACACTCATGTATGCACACAAACTCATGCCCACTTGCATGCTCATATACTCACACTCATGTGCAGACATATCTATACACACTCACACACACTCTCAAACATAGGCCAAGCAACTCTTGCAAACAGCACTGGGTTTAGGGGAGTCTAAGTTTTTAAAATATCTTAAGAATTAAAAATCAGGTCTGATAGAGGCCCCTGTAAATATGGAATAGACCCATGTAAATACGGCCGAGGGATGTTTGATGTGTGCGCAAAAACAACTCACTGAGCGGAGGGCTCATTCATCCAATAAACATGAAGCTCCATCTCAACCTCACGTCTGATAGAAAAAATGAACTCAAAATGGCTGCGATTTCAATGTAACATGTAAAAATCATAAACCTTTTAGAAAAACTATAGGAGAAAATATGTAGGGCTGGGAAAGGAGTCCTCGGACTTCACACTAAAGGCCGAATCAAAAGGAAAAGTGATAAATTGGGCTTCATCCGGATGAGACACCTTTGCTCTGTGAAGCACCCATGTTCAGAAGACGAAAGGCAAACTACAGAGTGAGAGAAAATATTTACAAACCGCATATCCAACAAGGACCAGTACCTGGACTAGAGGAAGATCCTTCAACTCAACGGCAATGTGGGAAACAGATGCTCGGTGCCGCAAAGAAAAATCAGCACTGAGACAAAGGATCTTTCGGTGACACAATTTTTACTTCCTGGAATGCAGGAAGGGGGCCCTCCCTAGCCATCGTGCCATGAGAGTACAATGAACAAAGGAAAACACGCAAATGTATCCTTATGCATTTGGGGTTGTCCTTGCTACTGTGTCTGATCTCCACTGGCTGGAGCCAGACCTCACAATCTAAACTAAAACCCGATTGGCTGATAATTTAAAACTTTTCTAAACAGGTAAAAGCAATGGAGAGCTGGGACATGTCTGTGAGCCCGTCCAGCACAGATATCCTGGTTAAATTACAAGGACATAGAGTGTACCACGTGCCTATAAACACGGGGTGTCTCACAGCAGCGTAGGATAGGGCTTCACAAAGAGGTATTAGCACGCTTATTCTTTAACAAGAAAGGAAACTTTAAAAAGGAAGTTTTCTACTTCCCACAAGCAAGAACACAAACCATCCAGTTAGAAAATGAGCAGAAGAGCTGAAAAGATGTCACCAAGAGGATGGGCAAGTGACACGTATGCACGTGAAAAGATGGTCAACACCGTCTGCCACCAGGGAGGCCCCACAGCCAGACCCCGCTGCACACCTCTCAGCGTGGCTGGCATTGGAAACAGCGCCCGCACGAAGCGCTGGTGAGGAGGCAGCACAGGGCCCTGGGTCCCTCACGCGTGGCTGAGCCGCTGGAGAATGACCCCAGGGATCTGGAAAACTGTCCAGCGTCTTCTTAACAAACTCAACATGCAACAACCAGAGGACCCAGCACCTGCACCGGTGGCACTCACGCCGGAGAAACGAAGACTTCTGTTCACACAGAAACCTGCATGTGTCTGTTCACAGCAGTGTTATTTATAAAGGCCAGAAGTGCAGACAGCCCAGCGCCCTGCAGTGGGTGAGGGGTTGCACAGGCTGTGGTGCCCCCATGCCAAGGCACCACGCCCCAGTGAGAAGGAATTCGTTATTAATACCTGCAGCAGCAGCAGCAGGGCCGAGCACGGTGGCTCACGTCTGTGATCCCAGCACTTTAGGAGGCCGAGGTGGGCAGATCACCTGAAGTCAGGAGTTCGAGACCAGCCTGGCCAACATGGCAAAACCCTGCCTCTACTAAAAATACAAAAACTAGCCAGGTGTGGTGGTGCGTCCCTGGAATCCAGGCTACTCGGGAGGCTGAAGCTCGAGAATCACTTGAACCCGGGAGTTGGAGGTTGCAGTGAGCCAAGATCCAGCCTGGGTAACACAGTGACTCGACTCAAAACAAAATAAAATAAAGATAAAATAAAATAAAATACCTGCAGCAACCTGGATGAGCCTCAAGTGGATCATGCCGAGTGAAAAAAGGCACTCCCACGTGATCCCATGCTGTGCGACCCGTTTATATCACACTCCTGACGTACAGAAATGGGGAAAGAGGATAGAAAATTATCGTCAAAATTACAGAAAGAAGATTCGTGGTTGGAACGGAGCTGGGCTAATGCGGGGAGGTGGGTGTGTCTGCAAAGGGCGCCCGGTGGGGCCTGAGTGGCGGCCGAGTTGCCCTGACCCCTTCCTGTATCAGTGTCCACGTCATGGAAGGAGGTGGTGCAGCAGCCTCCATGGGCGACTCGGGGCCTCTGGGGATGGCAGTTGGTGGGAGCTGCCCTCTGTACCCACCCTGCTGCATCTCAGCCTCACTCCTGGTACCACATGGTCTGAGAAAGAGAAAATCAGGAAGCACAGCCTCCTGGAGCGGAACCCCTGCTTCGTTTGCAGGTGGCTTAGGCACTTCCAGACCTGGGCCTCTCCCCTGCCGAAACCCTCCACGCTGCGGGAGCTCCCCTCACCCTCCTGGCTCCAGGCCAGGCACAGGCCTCAGTGGGTCTCCCTGGGACCCTCCCTGCACCCCAGCTGCTCTCTGATGACACCCGTGGGTGTCATCACACCCCCTCCCTCTCTGCCGCTGGGTGATTGTTCTGAAGTGTCCCCCGGCCACAGCTGTCTCGGTCAGGCCCCCACTCCAGGCAGAATCTCCAGTGCAGAACCAGGCCCGGTCCCCTGTGGGTCTCCAGATCCACTCTTTTCAAGGAAAGGCCAGGGGGAATGAATGAATAAGTGAGTGAGTGAGTGAATGAGCCTCTCTGGCCTCTCAGCTTCCAGGCTCACTCCTGAGTGGCCTCACGGTGCTTCCCTACAGGGTGATGTCCTGACCACCAAGTACCAGGTAGATCTCGGGGACGGCTTTAAGGCCATGTACGTGAACCTGACGCTGACCGGGGAGCCCATCCGGCACCGCTATGAGAGTCCCGGCATCTACCGCGTGTCTGTCAGGGCAGAGAACATGGCTGGCCACGACGAGGCGGTGCTCTTTGTCCAGGTCAACTGTAAGTCTGTCGCCCTGTGAAATAACCTGGCTTTGGGGGAAACAGGGAATCCCTTGGGACCGCTCTAGGTCCCTGGTACTCAGGACGGCGAGCCCAAGGGCAGGGAGGCGAGCCCAAGGGCAGGGAGGCAGCGAGGCTGGGTCAAGCCCACACCCCCGATGACCCATACAGTAGTAGGGTGGGGCTGGTAGCTGGTGGTGATATTGATGATAGTGGTGGTGGTGGTGGTGGTGATATAGGTGGCGATGGTGGTGCTGGTGATGGTGGTGATGGTGGAGATGATGGTGGTGATAGTAGTGGTGGGGATGGATGTGGTGGTGGTGATGCTGGTGATGGTGGTGGTGGTGGTAGTAGTGGTGGGGATGGATGGTGTGGTGGTGATGGTGGTGAGGATGGATGTGGTGGTGACGTGGTATGGTATGGTGGTGGTGATGCTGGTGATGGTGGTGGTGATGGGTATGGTGGTGGTGATAGTGATGAGGATGGACGTGGTGGTGGTGACGGTGGTGATGCTGGTGATGGTGGTGGTGGTGACGGTGGTGGTAGTGACAGTAGTGGTGGGGATGGTTGGTGGTGGTGGCGGTGGGGTTGGTGCTGATCATGGTGGTGATAATAGTGGTGGGGCTGGACGTGGTGCTGGTGATGCTGGCTGTGATGGTGGTGGTGGTGGTGGTGGTGACAGTAGTGAAGGGGATGGATGGTGACAGTATTGGTGATGGTGATAGTACTGGTGGTGGTGACAGTGCTGGTGGTGGTGACAGTATTGGTGGTGGTGGTGACAGCAGTGAATTTGCTGGTGACAACAGTCACTAAGCAGCCTCTGAAATGCCGGGTGCCCTGACATTGTCTGACCCTGGCCTTCTCGGGTCCCACAGCCCCTCTGCAGGCCCTCTACCTGGAGGTGGTTCCTGTCGTTGGCATTAACCAGGAGGTGAACCTCACGGCTGTGCTGCTTCCCTTGAACCCCAACCTCACCGTCTTCTACTGGTGGATCAGCCACAGCCTGCAGGTGCGCGGGCCTTGCCCTGCTCAGCCTCCTTCCTGCGGGCTCCCCCGAGGTGCACAGTGGGGCAGAGCGTGGCCCCAGGTGCTCAGCAGGAGGACCCAGTGCAGAGCACACTCCTCACTGGGGCAGTTGAGAGGGACACACCCTGGCATTCCTTCGCTCGTCACCCACTGTGGGTGCCTGTTCAGGGCCCGTCTTCTCAATAGTGCCGGATGAGTCCGACTAGATCCTGCTTTTTCCTGGGGAAGGGGTGGGAACACAGTGGCTGACCGAGTTGGGGGTGGCGGGAGTCATGGGGACAGGTATGTGGGCTGCAAGAGAGCTCCAGGAAAGGAGGGGCATCTGCAGTGAGGGGCCAGGGAAGGCTTTATGGAAGAAGAGGTTACAGGGGCTTAGAAGCCTCATTCAGAGGCCTGGTTCGTACCCTGTCTGCAGTGGGGAGCCACAGATAGTTCCTGAGTAGGAGAGAGCCCAAATCAGCAGAATGCCTGCACTGGGGGCAGGACCCGATGACGGGCATCCTCCACTCATTCAGCAAACAGCCCAGCACCGCCAGGCAGGAAGCCTCCTACCAGCAGCTAAGAGCCCTGACACAGAGGCCCAGCCAGTGGAGGGGCTGTGGGCTCTGGATTGTGTTTCTCTGGAATGGAGAGGGTTGCGAAGGAGCTCAGGGTCTGGGTTCGGGTCTCAGCTCCGCCATTGCCAGCTGCACGCTCCGTGCACATCACTTCACCCTACAGAGCCTCTGCCTCCACATCTACACCTGTTGGCGGGGGGGCGCTCCTGTCTGTGGGGCAACATGACGCCCGCCTTGCTAAGTGTGCACCACCCCCACGGCTGGGGTCCTGAGCTGGGTGCTGGCTTGGTGCCATGGATGCCGGAGCCGTGGCTCCTGCACAGCTGCCGGGGCCATGTGTGGGGATGGGAAGGTGATGTGGGTCAGGGAGTGGGGGTCCATCCCGGCAGCCATATCAGGGCTCCTAAATACCCACGTGGGAGGGGCCTGGGGAGCTGTTGAGAAGGAAGGGGGTGCTGGGGTTTCATGCTCCTGCTGTGTTGGCTTAGAACCAGGTGCCCATGAGGTCAGGAGTTTGAGACCAACCTGGCCAACGTGGTGAAACCCTGTCTCTACTAAAAATACAAAAATTAGCCAGGCGCGGTGGTGCATATGCCTGTAATCTCAGCTACTCGGGAAGCTGAGGCAGGAGAATCACTTGAACCCAGGAGACAGAGGTTGCAGTGAGCCAAGATCACGCCACTGCACTCCAGCCCGGGCGACAGATCAAGACTCTGTCTCAACAACAAAAAGAGAACCAGGTGCCCCCCTGTGCCTCCTTTGGTGCTGCCAACACAGGACATCCATAATGGGCCCATTTGCTGATGAGAACACGGGGACAGTGATGCTCTCAGTGAGGCAGTGACCACGGGCCAGCATCCCCCATGGCCGCTGCCTTGCCCAGCCAGGACCCTGAGCCCTGCTGTGCCCCTGCAGCCCCTCCTTTCCCTGGATAATTCTGTGACAACGCGATTTTCGGACACGGGCGACGTGCGTGTGACGGTGCAGGCCGCCTGCGGAAACTCAGTGCTGCAGGACTCCAGGGTCCTCCGTGTGCTGGGTGAGTCCTCCGGGGTCTGGCCACACGGCCTCTGCACCCCTGCCACTGTTGGGGGGCTGGGCCACATGGGTCTCATCAGCCATGGACGTCCTGATCACCCTGGGTGGCCCTGGGGTGAGGAGGGAGGGGCTGGATAAACACAGCCCTGCCGAGTTAGAGACCTGGGCAATCTCCCAGTCTCTCTGGCCTCAGTTTCCCCATCTGCAAAACAAATACTGAACTCCTGTGTCCTAAGACACTCATGGGACACGACACACAGGGACAAGGTCACCCAGCAACAAGAGAGCCCGGTATGGGTACTGGCTCTGCCTGCCTCCCAGGCCACCTGAGCATGGTGTCACGATTGCAGCTTAAAGAGGACTCCCATCTGTAGGAACGCTGAGCCTCCTGTTCTGAATCTGCGTCCTCATTTCTCTGCGCTCACTGGGGGCTCTTAGCCCCTCGTGGGAGATACTGACAATAGTAATTGGTCCTAAGACTGGAGGAGACCCCCCTCTTGCATAGCCTTGTCCCCATCATCACAGCAATAAACCCTCATTTTGCTTTAAGAAGAGCCTCTACTGTGGACAGCAGTCATCAGTTAAATATTTAGCTGGACAAGTATGCAAAGGGTTGGGGTGCCCACACAGGCCCGTCGCACCCTGGAGGAGGCTGCCCTTGGCTGTTCTTCATTCATTGCTGGCCCAGGAGCTTTGCACCACCCTCATTGTAGGATGTTGGGTTTGCAGTTCTCAAAGCTCTCGTCCCTTGAGCCCCTTAGCCCTGCACAGCCTCCTCCCACTGTTTCTGTGTGAGAAAACTGAGGCCTGAGAAGTGGAGAGGTTAAAATTTAGCTCTGAGGCCCCTGATGACTCTAGAATTGGGCTCTGAGCCGTGGACCACGGGAAATGTGGGAAAAAGAAGACAGGGCCTCTGCTCTCAAGGGACTCTGAATTTGGTGGGGGGACCAGCCAGTTGAAGTCCATGGATCCCTGAGGGATGAGAAACTGATGTCATAGGGTGTGTTCATCCTTGTGAGTCAAGGAGGCAGATCTCGCAGAGCAGGCTCGGCGCACACCAGGCCTCCCTCCTGGGTCAGTGTGTCTTTGTCATCCTCACCAGCATCTTCGTCGCTGCTGTTGTAAGAAGGCAGCCAGTGACATGGGTCCTGCCTGGGACAGGCCACACTGCCGGCGCCCAGGGAGGGAGCTGGTTCCCAGACACAAGATCAGGGCTGCTGTCGGCCTGCTCGAGAAGACGATGGGCTGCGGGACCCTGGGATCCAAACCCAGGGCCGACCTGATGGCTGAGCCATCCAGGGCATGTGGCTGCCCCCCCACTAGCAGCTGTCGGATCCAGGCTGCCCAGGACTGACCAGTCTCCCTCCTCTGCTCTTTCCAGATCAATTTCAGGTCATGCCTCTAGAGTTTTCCAAGGAGCTGGATGCCTACAACCCCAACACACCCGAGTGGAGGGAAGACGTGGGCCTGGTGGTCACCCGGCTGCTCTCCAAGGTGTCGCCCAGAGCCTGGAGCCTCCCCAGCCCAATGGTGCTTCCAGCATCCAGAGAAGCCCAAGGGCCCCCGGGGCACCCAGGGCAGGGAGAGGCTGGCGGCACTGCCCTGGCACACGATGCTGTGGCCTTCGGGCTGCCTGGGGGTGTTGGTAGCTATGGTGGGGGCAGACGGCACGGCCCTGGCTCAGGGGACCTGCAGCTGGAGTGTCACCTCACAGGGGAGGGACCACAGGCACCCTCCATGCACATAATCCAGGGAGCACCTGCTGTTTGCAGGAGGCGCCTCTGCTCCTCCAGTGGTCCGGAGTCTCTTTAAAGCAGTTTTCCTTCATTCACTGAATTTCTCGTCTGGGCTGGACACTGGCGACTGAGAGAAGAATCCAGTGTGCTCACTACGCTCTGGGAGCTCCCAGGAGGCAGGCTTCAGGGCGGGCGGTAGAAGGCCAAGGCCATTGGCCCCCCAGTGAGAGAGACCAGTCCTGTAGACTCATCTCAGAATGTCACAGGCTGGGGCCTGCTCTGCCCAGGCTTCCCCTCCTCCTGTGAATAATGCTGGTGAAAGGGTCCTGGGCACTGAAGGATGAATAGGGGTTTGCCGGGTGGAAGTGCGTGCAGTGTGCCTTCCAGGAGGCGGAGCCCCTTCCATGAGTAGTGCCTGTGGGTTGAGGGAGTTCTGTGTGGGTGTGTGACCCTAGTTGGGCCTGGGGTGTTGGGGAGTGGGGAGGGGGAGGCGGCCGGAGTCAGCGGGGGGCCAGGTCACAGACCTGGAGGGTGTGGTAAGGAGCTTTGGGAGGACAGTAGCGAGGGAGGAAGGTGCTCACTCTAGTCAGTGGTCTGAAGGGTGGACTGGAGGCCAGGCCTGGCCAAGGGGAGGCTGGTATGCGAGCACAGACCTGAATAGCAGGGCTGGGGTCCTGGACAGCTGGGTGCGGGGGGGTAGCTCAGGGCACCCTGGGACCCGGGAGCCATCCCCACGCCATGCAGGGGTTAGGAATGGCTCGTAGGACAGGCATCCAGGACTCAGGCCAAGAAGGGAGAGAGGGTGTTCCAGGGGGTGAGGAAGACAAGCAGACCAAGGGGCTTCACTGTCCCCACAGGAAACCAGCGTCCCTGAGGAGCTGCTGGTGACTGTGGTGAAGCCGGGGCTGCCCACCCTGGCTGACCTGTACTGTGCTCCTTCCCGCTCCCAGGCCCACAAGGAAGAGGAGCCTCTCGAAGTGATAAGGTATGTCCTGCGGCCACTGGACCCAGCACAGCCCAGGGCTCGGGTCATTCACAACAAGCAGGAACGTCTCAGTGGCTTACGGCACACAGGCCTCTTTCTGGCTGCATCACAGGCTGACTCAGGGTGGCTGGCCCTCTTCCACCTGTGGCTACGCCCTCTGGAAGTCATGCAGCCTCTAAGGTCACTGTGGCAGAGGTAGTCGGGAGAGGGCACAGGCTGGACCACCTCCTGAGGGGGACTCACTCACTTCCTCTCCCATATCGTTGGCTGGAGATGGTCACATGGCCCCAGCCTGACTGCCAGGAGCACTGGGAAATGTGGGTAAGCACTGTCGGGAAGACACCCAAGGGCGTGGGTTCCAGGACCGAGCAGAACTCGGCCCCCATGCAGTTAGCAAATGTCTTCAGTTACATAGGAGAACTTCTAAACCACCCTCATGGTGGGGATAAAAGACCTGCCATGTGACAGGTGTGGGAAGGGGACACAAAGATGAACCAGAATCTCTTCACACCCACTAGGGTGGCTAAAATTAAAAAGCAGACAATTCCAAGTGTTGTCATGGAAGCGGAGAAATCAGAACCTCTCACGCTGCTGCTGGAAAAGGTTCAGCTGCTGTGCAAAACAGGCTGGAAGCTCCTCAGTAAATTACACCTAGAGTTACCGTACGACCCAGTACGTCCACTTCCGGGTATATACCCAAGAGAAACAAAAATATACGTCCACAGTTCATGGAGTCATGGTGAGGTGACTCGTCATAGCCACAAAGTGCTCATCAGGTGATGAGTGAAGAAACAAAGCCCAGTCCAACCTTACAATGGAATATTCTTTGACCACCAAAAGGAATGAAGCCCTTGACACTCCTGAAAGCACGGATGAACCTTGAAAACGTGATGCTAAGGGAAAGAGGCCAGTGGCAAAAGACTAGGAAATGCCCTGAGCAGGCAACTCTGGAGAGACAGACAGAAATGGGTGTCACCAGGGGCTGGGGGAGGGTGCGTGGGGATTGAGTGCTAAGGCTAGGGGGATTCTTTGGGAGAGGATGAAAATGTGCAGAAATTAGATAGTGGCAATGCTCGCACAACTTTGGGAATATACTAAAATGCCTTAAATTGTATACTTTAAAAGCGTAAAACCAGGCACGGTGGCTCACGCCTGTAATCCCAGCACTTTGGGAGGCTGAGGCGAGAGGATCACAAGGTCAGGAGATCAAGACCATCCTGGCTAACACAGTGAAACCCCATCTCTACTGGGAAAAAAAAAAAAAAAAAGATTAGCCAGGGATGATGGCATGCTCCTGTAGTCCCAGCTACTTGGGAGGCTGAGGCAGGAGTATCGCTTGAACTCAGGAGGCAGAGGCTGCAGTGAGCCAAGATTGAGCCATTGCACTTCAGTCTGGGTGACAAAGTGAGACTCCATCTCAAAAAAAAAAAAAAAAGAAGTACATGTTACTATCAGTTTCTAAAAATGAACCAGAAGCTCACATAGCCTGCACTGGTCGTGGAGAGCGATGCTCACTCAGGTGATCTGGAAGGCGTAGCCAGCCCACGGGAAGGGCAGTGCACATCCCATTTTACAGATGAGAGCAGGGAGGCTTGGTGAGGGCCCCAGTGAGGAAGGGCCAGAGGCAGTCAAATAGCAGAGGTGCTTCTAGATGCTAACCACAAGCTATCTGGAAAGGAAATCGAGAAAACAATCCTGCTAGCAGTAGCATCAAACATTAAAAGTAAAATAAACTACTTAGGAAAAAAGTGAACCAAGGAAGTGAAAACCTTGTGCACTGAAAACCAGAAGACACCAAGGAAAGAATGCCAAGACACAAATCAATAGAAAGACATCCTGTGCTTCATGGATTAGAAGAATTTATATTATTAAGATGTCCATGCTGCCTAAAGTGATCTACGGATTTAATACAATGTCCATCAAAATTTCAATGATGTTTTTCACAGAAATAGAAGAAACATTCTAAAATTTGTATGGAACCACAAAAGGCCTGAAATAGCCAAAGCCATTTTGAGCAAAAAAAAAAAAAAAAAAAAAAAGCTGGAAACATCACACTCCCCGACTTCAAAATGCACTACAAAGTTACAGTAATCCAAACAGCATGGTACTGGCATAAAAACAGACACATAGACCCATGCAACAGAACAGAGAGCCCAGAAAGAAATCCATACATGTATGGTCAGCTGATTTTCAATGAAGTTGTCAAGGAGACACGATGGAGAAAAGAGAGTCCCTTCCATAAATGCTGTTGGGAAACTGAATATCCACATCCAGAAAGATGCAGTTAGATTCTTACATCCTCTACGAAAGCCAACTCGAAGTGGATTAAAGACAAGTATAAGACCTGAAACTATAAAAACACTGAAGGAAAACATAGTGAAAAACTATGCATCAGTCTGGCCAATGCTGTTTTAGGTATGACCCCAAAAGTACCTGCAGCAAAAGCAAAAATCGACAAATGGGATGATATCGAACCAAAAGACTTTTTCACAGCCAGAGAAACAGTCGGCAGAGTGAAGTGAAGACCCACAGAACTGGAGAAAAGATCCATAAAGCATACCTCTGACAAGGGGTTCACACCTCCAGCCAGGAAACAAGTGACCCGATGGAAATTTAGGCAAAGGAGCCAAGTAGACCCTCCTCAAAGGGTGACACACAAATGGCCAACAGGTATGTGAGAAAACGTGCTCCACGTCTAGAATCATCAGGGAAATGCTCATCAAAGCCACGGCGAGACGGGCCTCACCCCTGTTAGAATGGCTGTTGAGAGCGGACCAGCACTGTGGAAGGCGGCCGGGTCTCCAGCCCCGCCCAGCCCTGGGTGATGACTGACGCTCAGACCCAGGAAGGAGTGAGAGGGGCCTGGAGGGAGCCCTCCTGTGCACCAGGCACCTCAGCACTTGTCACTGTCATGCAGACCCCAGAGGAGGATGCCCATGGCCCACAAGGCTGGCTGCCTTCTGGCCACCACCCTCTCCAGCCATAGATGCCCCCACCCTGGATCCCTTACCCCGCAAGCCAGCGACATGCCCTGGGATATCCCTCCCTCAGGTAGTGGGTCTGATTCACCTGTCCTGCCCTGTCTCATTCTCTTCTTGGTCTTCCACCTCCAGGAAGCCTTCCCTGACCATCCCTGGGGGATGGAGCCCCCTGGAGCACCCCTGCCTTTCCCCAACTTGACACACTCCATGGCCTGCGTCCCTTTTACATTCCCAACTAAAACAAGAGTTTGTGAAGGGCAGAGCCATGTCTGTGTCACCTTTGTGTCCCATCCATGGTTCTTGGTGAAAGTTCCCTGGTGGGTGATTATTCTCATGGTACACAGAGGCTCAGCGAGGCCAGGTGGCCTGCCCCAGCCCCATGGCTCCAGAGGGTCCAAGCAGGACTCACACCCGTCCACCCAACTCTCCCATCCCCCACTGGTGGATCCCAGGGCCACTCCCCAGCTCTCCCCACCGAATCCCCATCACTCTCCCCTCCCCTCTGGTGGATCCCAGCAGACCGTGCTTGCCTCCCCCCATGGAGGACCCCCGCCTCACGCTCTCCATCAGAGGAGAGCCCTTCTTCCCCTTACCCCACCCCCCATGGAGGACCCCCTCACTCCCCTCCTAGAGAAAGACTCCATCTCCCCCCTTCTGGTGGAGGACCCTCTCACTACCCCGCCAGGTGAAGGACCCCCCCATGGAGGTCCCCATCACTCCGCCCCCCAAGTGGAAGCCCCTCTCACTGTCCCCTCTTGGTGGAGGACCCTCTCTCTCCCACCTCACTGTCCCCTCTGTGCTTGCAGAGGCTCGCTGCCATCCAGCAGGTGCTGAACGCTCAGAAGATCAGCTTCCTCCTGCGAGGTGGGGTCCGCGTCCTGGTGGCGCTGCGGGACACAGGTACAGGTGAGCCGCCGGGAGCACCCCAGCAGAGTGGGCGGAGGAGGCATCCAGGCCCTGGAGAAGGCATGTCCCTGCAGGGCCCTCGGGCAGATGGCCAGCACCCCCTCCTGGTGGGTGTTCACCTCTGAGGGAACCGAGAACCCACCCGGGTCAGACCCAGGGCCCCGCTCTCCGGCAGAGTCCCCATGGAGCACGGCTCTTACCTGACACCCACGCTCTGGGTCGCGGGTGACCTCTGCCCCTTCCCTGCCCCAGGGGGCTGTCTCCTCGGTCATCGGTCACCCTTTCCCCTTTGGGGCAAAAGCTGAAGCTGAAGAACTTTTCTGTGTTCTGTAAAGACACTGTGCCCTTGAGACTTGGCAGGTTCGCCCATGCCAGCATCAACATAGCGAGGAGCTCTGCCCGCAGCCCCCATTCCCTGCCAGAGCCAGGTAGAGGGCAGAGACCTCAAGGTCACACAGGTAGCACTCTTGATCTTTTACGGCCTCTGGCCCTTCTCAGCCACATCAGGAGCACCAGGCACGGGCATGGAGGCTGGGGCACGGACAGGCAGGGGACGGGCCAGGTATGGGCGGCACCTGTGGCCCTCCGCTGACCAGCACTTTGCTTGCAGGCGCGCAGCGGCTGGGCGGCGGCGGCGGCGGCTACTGGGCGGTGGTGGTGCTGTTCGTCATCGGGCTCTTCGCGGCGGGAGCGTTCATCCTCTACAAGTTCAAAAGGCAAGGCCCTTGGTGCCCTCGCCTGCTGGGCTCTGATCACGGGGCGGCCAGGCCAGCTCACTCAGGCCGCTCTGGAAAGGGCCCCAGCAGGGCCTCAGAAGGGCGTGGTGGGAGTTCGTGCCTGTGGGGGGCTGCAGGGGGCGGGGCCGCTCCGTACCACCTGCAGGGTTCCCGGAAGAGATGGCCACCACCACTCCCAACCCAGCAAGCACGCCCACCCCCTCCTCACTCTGCCCAGGACATTCCGGCCATCCTCCCGTTCAGCTCCACCCACCCAGCAGGGAAGACACTGTCCCATCTCACAGATGAGGAAAGCGGGCTCAGAGAGGTGAAGCCACGTGCCCAAGGTCACACAGACGGCCAGCCTCAGAGCTGGGACCTGACCCCGGCCCACCCTTATCCCAAGCTTCCTCTGCTGCCCGCCAGTCCCTTCCCTCCCCTCGAGAGTGCTTGAGAGCTACAGAACTTCCTGCCAGGCGCTCCCACTTGGGGGGGCTTGTGCCGAGGCTGGAGTAGGGCAGCAAGGACAGCATCTGTTTATCGGAAGGGGCTTTTGTACCTCTCTTTCCTTCTGAGGCTGTTCCCTGTCTATGAAATGGGTGTGATCCCCCATGCTGGGACGCGTCTTGGCCACCCTGCAGGGGTTGGACAACCGGAAGTTCCCTGGACATTAGACCTGGAATGAGCAAGGTGACCCAGTGGCATCACCAGACTCCTTCCCTGCAAACGCAGCTTCCAGATTTGGCCCTGTGGCTTCTCCCCGGCCTGCTGGTTCAGCTCTGGGGGCCTCAGTCTCCCCATTGGGATCAGCCTTGAGGACGGTCAAAGGCTATAGCTCACCCTTTCCTTTTTGGCTTATTTGGAGCCTAGAGCCCTTCCCTGACACCAAGCCCCAGCCCCTACTCCTGCCCCTGGTCGCGCTGTCTCTGATGCAGTGGTCTCTGTGGGTCTTTCGAGTCATAGTTTTATGTGTGCCGCATGCTGCAGGCTGGCCCGCACTGGGACACAGCGCTGACTGGGAGTGCATCCAGGAGCTCCTCACCTGCCTTGTTACTCAGTTCCACCCGAAGGGGCAGCCTGAGGCACTCAGAGCTGGACTGGAGAATCTGGGAGGACTTCCCTGAGGAAGTGACTGCTGGTGGGGATCCTGAAGGATGAATAGGAGTTTGTGAGGCAAAGAAGTAGAATAGGGTCCGGGCTGTGGTCTTTCTTAATTTTCAAACTCAGAGAGGCACTGGCTTCCCAAGACAATCATCCAGGGGTTCCACAGGCATTGCAGATTCGAATCAAACCCGGCATCCTCTTCCCCCAAACCTGGTGCTGAGCAAATGCCACTGTCCTCTGCCAGGTGCCCAGGCCAGGAATCCCACCTCCTTCCCATGTGCTCCCCCCGCCCAGCCTGTATCCCACGGCCACTACAGGTGGGGTTTGTCACAGCAAGGAGGTGGCAGGGGTGGCCTTCAAGGCCGGGCTTTCAGGTTCTGAAACCAGGCCCCTCCCTGCTCTGGAAACAGAAGCAGCTTAAAGTTGGTGCTGACGAACCCCAGGGTCTGTGAGTCCAAGCTCTGGAGTTGAGTGTATTGGGCATGGGCAGAATCGCCCCCCTCAAAGACCCCTCCCTTGAGTGGTGTGTCTTCAGACGAGATTGGGTGTGTTCGAGGTGGTACTGGCCGTAGACATGCTGCGTCTTCAGATAAACGAGGGATGCACTTGACCCTTTTGAGAGACAGGTGCACACTCCCTCTGCCCATGCGGGCGTTTCTGGATGGCCTTTAGATGCGCCAGGCTGGGCATCTTCTTGTCTGACGGAGAGCTGCAGGACATTTTGTTTCTGATGTGGGGCCGGGGACCCGATGACTTCCATTTGGAGGGACTGCCCTCGGCCTCAAGGCTCTGATTTCCTCCCTGTGCCCTGCCCGTCCCTGGGCCCAGTCCCAGGCCATTCCAGCCCCACAAGGGACTTAGCCTGCAGAGGGTGCGACACCTGCCCAGAAACACACAGGTGCCTCCCAGGGAAGGGGCTGCCCTGCTCCCCGCCCCAGTCGCTGTCATGCTCCCCGTCCCACCTTGGCAGGCCCATCTTCAGTCTGTTCAAAATGCTGCAGCCTTCAAATCCTGAAGGAGAGCCGCAGAGAGGCCAAAGGACAGGCAGCTGCCAGCTTCCTCACGGGACAAGCCTGGGATGGTAACGGCAGAAAAGGCATCAAACTGGCTGGCCACAGGCACGTCAGGGAAAAGGCTGGTGGGAGCCATCAGAGTGTCTGGCTGCCGCTCGCAGATGGCCAGGGACCTGGACACCGTGGTTGCTGCCCCGAGGCAACCCCAGGAGCAGGGAAGCCCCCTCTGGGCACTTTTCCCCAGGCCAATGTGATAAGACCCCAGCCAGCTCTGTCCCTTCTGGGCCTCTGCCCAAGCACCTTTCACACGGGGCTGCAAGGGCTGCAGGGTGGCCCCGCACAGTGGCTGAGGACAGGGTCAGTCTCAGAGACCTGGGCCACGCCCCTGCCCTGCTGCTGACTGGCTCCGTGGCTCAGGGAGTCCCTTTTCCTGAGCCTCAGTTTCCCCATCTGTAAAAGAAGACTCAGAAGAAGGAGTGGTGAGGAGGGGAGAAGGGGAAGAGGGGAGGAGGAGGAGAAAGGAAGAGCGCCGGGCGCGGTGGCTCACACCTGTAACGCCAGCACCTTGGGAGGCCGAGGTGGGCGGATCATGAGATCAGGAGTTCAAGACCATCCTGGCCAACATGGTGAAACCCCGTCTCTACTAAAAATACAAAAATCAACCAGGTATGATGGCTCATCTCTCCCAGCTACTTGGGAGGCTGAGGCAGGGGAATTGCTTGAATCTGGGAGGCGGAGGTTGCAATGAACCGAGATCACGTCACTGCACTCCAGCCTGGGCGACAGAGCAAGACTCTGTCTCAAAAAAAAAACAAGGGAAGGAAGAAGGGGCTGCGGACGCGGGAGCGGGCCCTCTCGGGCAGGCGTTCTGCTCTGGCTTGTCTTGCATTGCCTCTGCAGAGGGTTCTGAGCGGCCCGAGCCCTGCAGGGGAGGTCGGCAGCACGCTGCCTCCCGAGAGCCGTGCTGGAGATGGCCGCAGCGGCCAGCCTCAGCGCTCCGCACGCCCCCTGAACATCAGCTTCATCAGAGCTTGACCCAGGCACCCGGAGAGAGGCAGTTAGAGAGGCGCTCGCTGCCCCAGGAGGAGAAGGCAGGCCTGGCCTATCGGGGCCGACACAGGGAGGCTGTGGCAGGGATGGAACTGTGGCCTCTGTGGGTGACACTTTTCCCCATTCTTCAGGCCACCTGGGGGCCTGACTGTGGTGTCCACGAATGCCCCAGATTCATCGTCCACAGTATGAAGAGTCTGCAAGGACCCTGGCTCGCCTCACACCTGGAGGCGGGGGAGGGAGGAGGGGAGGAGGGAACAGAGGCGAGGACCTTGAGGGGTCCGAGAAGCTGCCCGAGGAGGCGAGGGTGCACGTGGCCTCCCGGCACCAGGCTCTCACTCATTCAGGTCGTGCCTCTGGGGAGGTGGGGGGCGTGGCCATGGAGCACAGCTATGGGAGCGGCTGCGTCCCCCACCCCAGCGGCTCCAGGAGCTCCACTGGAGGGGAGCAGCCGAGCAGCGCCCCGCTTAGCCCCAGGGCCTGAGGCTTTGGGCTCTGGTGTGGCCTGCGCACTCAGGAGCTCCCAACTTGCTCATGGGCTGGGCTGGGTGGCGCTGACAACCCAGGCAAGGCCCACGGCCACATGTCCCAGGGCCCGGCAGGGGCTTGGCCGTCCTCTCAAGGCTCTAGACGGAGGGGCCAGGGCTGCTTGGAGCACTTACATCCAGTGGTGATGCGTTGCAGCCTGGAGGTGACACTGGCCACCTTCTGTCACCCTCAGAGCTAGTCACAGGGCCCGCCCCATCCTGCCAGCAACAGGTTTCCAGAGGGCTGGCGGGGTTCATCAGCTGCAGCTGAGAAAGGCCCCTCTCCCAGAGTCTCCGTCCCCTCATCTGTGAAATAGGACTCTGAGCCCTGGGTTTCGATTGGACTAAGTGGGGTGTCGCACATGAAGGAACCTGGCCCAGCGCGGGTCCTGGGCCCAGTCCCAGTGGAGGCGGAGGGGCTGTGCCCAGACTCTCCCTTTCCTGGCTGGGAAATCAAGGACAGCACTGCCCCAGGATGCCTGGAAGGCGCTCAGCAAGCGTCTCCTGGAGCTGGGCAGGCTCATGCCTCCTGCGGGAATGTGTGCCCAGCCGGGTGGCAGGGTGGCCAGGCGCGGGGGGCAGGGTAAAGGATCTAATGCCCTCTCCCTGAAACGCACCCTCGCTTCACTTGTCGGGGAGACGAACAGGTACCCAGTGATCATCCGACGTGTCAGGGCAGAGGGAACCCCAGGGCCGAAGGAGCACACAGGGGGGAGGGCTTCCTGGAGGAACCGGCTTTGCGCAGAGATGGGGTCGGAGGCAAGACTTGGGGCTGGGGTAGGGGCGTCTGGAGTGCTGTGGGCTCCCGTGCACCGCGCTCGGTGTGGACGGGCACCCAGCGGAAGGCTCTGGGGGCAGGTGGCCTGGGACGCAGCCCAAGCTGAGCCGCCCTCACCTCTGTCCAGCAGGAAACGGCCCGGCAGGACCGTGTATGCCCAAATGCACAATGAGAAGGAGCAGGAGATGACCAGCCCCGTGAGCCACAGTGAGGACGTCCAGGGCGCCGTCCAGGGTGAGGAGTTTATAGATGATGATCTCGACTCGCAGACTCTAGGTAACGCCCGCCCCAAACCCACCCCGCCCTCCCACAGGCCACCCCACTGAGCCGCCGGGGCCAGCGAAACGCTCGGGACCCTGGCCCAGCAGACCTGGCCGGTGGGTCAGCCGGGTTCGCTGCGTCCCCTCCATCTGACGAGGGGTGACGGGACCTCCCAGGGCTACCCGCAGAGATGAAATGGGGGCCTGTGGAAGCTGAGGGCCCCATGCCTGGCAACGAGCAAACAGCCCCAGGCAGTCCCATCGAGGCAGGGAAAGGACAGGAAACGGGGCTGGCTTTAAAGGAAGCCCAGCTCTGGCCTAGGACAGCGGGGGCCTTTCCCCCACAGCCGCTCCCTCAGCACTCCCCATGTTCCCTTCGCCACAGCGGTGATTTAGGGAGCATCCCACACATGGACACGTGGCACCGCACTTCACAGTTTACAAAGCATTTCCACTGATGCGATCTCCTTCACTCCTGGCCATGCCTGGCAAACAGAAGTCCAGTCAAGTCATCTATGGCGGCAGGACACACCGCCCACCTCAGTGGCACAGCATCATTTAAGGCCGTTTTCTCTGCTGGCGTCTGGGAACTGACAGGGCTCGGCTGGGCCTTTTTCCGTCAGGGTCTCTCATGAGGTTCCAGTCACTGGCTGGTGCAGCAGTCCTCTCAAGGCTGCCTCCCTCCGATGTCACACAGTTAATGCCGGCAGTCAGCTAACCCCTCACTGGGGCCATCCACCAGGACACCTGCACAAGGTCTCGCTATGTGGCTTGGGCTTCCTCCCAGCATGGCAGCTGACTTCCAAGAACATGTGGAGGCGGTGGCCGGGTAGGAGCTGCACCCGCTTCAGAGCCTGGCCTTGAAATCCTGCCCTGTCACTTGTGTCTTGCCCTGTCCACATTTTAGGGGAGGGGCACAGACTGCACCCCTCAGCTGCAGTCCGAGCATGATGCCATCTACCACCACGGGTCCTGCAGCTCTTCCTCTGGATGAGGGGAAACCGAGGCCCAGGAGGCTCTGAGACCTGCCAGAGGGCTGGGAGCCTGGGCCGCCAGGGCATGGCACCAGCCCTGCTTGCTGTGTCGGGCAAGTGCAGCCGGCAGCCGGGCTGGGCGGGCACTTTCCATGCCCATCTCAGCAGCGGAGCAGGTGGGCTCTTCCCTAGGGCTGTGGACGTGAAAGTGCAGGGAGACGGACTGTCCTTGCCCAAGGTCACAGCTAGTGGGGGACGGAGCTGGAACTCACATCTCAGCAGACCCCAGGGACCCGGCTTCTCCCCTATGGTCCATGTTCTCTCTTAACAATCCCCGTCCGGGCCTGATTTTATGGTGATGTTGGCACACACCTCTCACCGTTGCTGGGGGTTCCGCTGAAGCTTCTGGAGCTGAGGACAGAACACAGGAAGCCACCGAGGTCTCGGCACGACCAGCTGCTGCCATTGTAGCACTGATTATCCGGCTTTGAGCGTCACTCACACCCTGCATCCAGGACGTCCTCAGAACAGGAATGGCGTAAACCTCTGTCCCCACTTCACAGATTCTTGAAAGTGAGGCTCACAGAAAAAAAGTTGCTCACCCAGGCCCCAGCCAGCCAGACCCCGGCCAGTCAGACCCCAAAGCCTGTGACCTTCATGCTCTCCTGAGAGGGGTCGGGGCAGCTGGATGGATGGGCTGCCCCTTTCTGCCTCCCCTGCGCTCTCTGCAGCCCCTCACCAGGCCTGTCTGCCCCAACCTCGGCGGGGGTCCCTGGTCCCCGCCATCACCAGCGCAGGTGTGCTTCTCATGGCGCCACATGCCTGTAACCTTGGAAACATCACAAGGGTGGTATATTTCACTGAGCACCGACTCTGTGTCAGGCCCCAGCTCAGTGTCCCCCAGGCCCCTCTGACTCCCCTGAGGTACTCGCCGACATTGTGTCCACTGCACAGATGAGAAGGCTGAAGCTCAGAGCCATTAGTCAGCCTCCCCAGGTCACTTAGTGAGTGGCAACAGGTGGAGCAGGCTCAAGCCTGACTCAGTGGCTGCACAGCTGTGTGTCCTCCGAGGGCCGCCAGCTGCGGGCGAGTGTCTAAAGACCCCTCCACTGGTCTTGCTCCTGCCGGGGCAGGAGGTGGTCTTGGGGCTCCCCCTCCTGCAGGTGGCATCACCCCCACCCTCACCCCTGTGATGGAGGCAGGTGTGAAGCCCTGAAAGAACCCAGACCTCAGGAAGATAGGGCCCCACTCTTGGCACCCAAAGGCTCTTTGCTTCCAAGCCCCTAAAGAGCAATCCTGGCAGGGTAATGAGATCTGTGCAGCCAAGCCCTTGGTCCGCGTGGCCTCGCCAGCACACCAGCCGACTTGCCCGTCTGACCCACCACAGTCCTGTGAGGGGTGCGGTTGACCCTCACGTTAGAGATGACAGAGCCAAGGCCCAGCCAGGTGAAGGATGGGCGAGGACTCGGGTGTGGCCAGGCTGTGCCTCTGGGGCTCCCAGCCGTGTCTCCTGGTGCCCTTGAGGCAGGGCAGCTCTGGATCCCGGGCCCTCGTCTCCTAACCAGTCCCCACCCGGGACACCGGGCTCACCCCTTGGCTCTGACGTCCCTATGCCCCCCTCTCTCCCACTCTCGGCTCCCAGGGCCTCACCACTCCACGCACTGCAGCACCCACTGCCAGGAGGGGGCGCAGCCTCAGCCCCTCTGGCACCCTCTTGCTGCTGATGCTGGGGGCGACCCCCAGGCAGGTCAGTGGACGCAGCGGGTGTGGGGCGGCCTGGGCCTCACCTCTCAGGCCCTCTGGGACCCACTGCTTGTGATGGCGCCGGGACAGCCCACTCCTCAGGCACCACCTAGGAACCGTGGAGACCCCCCCTGCACCTGCACAGACCGAAGGAACCCAGGGATGCCCACTGCACGTTGGCTCCAGGCGCTGGCCAAGGCCACCACCGTGTCCCCATGGCCCCGTCCCAGCCCCGGCGGAGGGCGTGCGCTCATGGGGCCTGCGTCTTTTCTGTTTCCTAGGCAACCACTCGGGCGTGGTCCTGAGCATCCACTCCCGAGAGATGCACAGCTACCTGGTGAGCTGATGCGCGGCCGCCCAGCAGCCGTCATTTCCCCCGCGGAGGGCACAGAACCACCGGCGAGGCCGGCGGCCGGACTGATGGCCCTCGGAGACCTGCGGAAAGCCCCCTCCCCAAGTCGCCCCCACGCCTGGCGACAGGCACCACCCCCTCTGATAAGTCCAAGCCCCCCCAGGCCCACGGGGACCCACGGGACCCCCCTGACATGGCCCCGCCCCTATGGGACACCAGGCCTGACTTGGGCAGGTTCTGTTCCCAGACCCCACACACGGCCACCCCACATGCTGTTGCTCAGCCTGAGGCCTGACTTCTCTGGGCTGAGGCTGGTCGTCCTGGAGCCTGCCCAGTACCGTGGGCTGCGAGAGCCACGGACCCACTCAGACATGGCCCGGCGGGCTCCCTCCCCGCAGACGCTGGGGCCTCCCTGACCGCGCTTTCTTCCTCACACCCATCCTCGTGGCCACCCGGTCCCTCTGTGGGATCCCTGAGCCAGCTCCTCCCAACTCCACCCTGTAGGCCCCCAGTGCCCTCCGCCTGGAAGCTGCAGCTCCGTCAATGTCTCTCTAGGTAGCTGTGGGCAGTGTGGGGGGGTGTCTCACTCTCCATCTTTATGGCCAGTGGTAGCCGCTGGGGTCGCTCTGTCAGAGCCCCATACTCGGGAGCCCCCTTCCCTGAGTGTCCAGGGCGCCTGCTCTAGAGCCCCAAGGGGCAACCGCTCTCCCTGGTTCTCCCCAGGGCAGAGGGGGTGGGGTGGGCACAGGGCCCAGTGCCCGTGGCTCCTCGCCCTCACTCCTGCCAGCAAGCAGCACCCTCCCACAGGCTTCTCCCACCTGATGGCTCCTCTCCCACTGGGGCTGGAGCCCCCAGAAAGGTGGATGGTGGAGACGGCTCCAACGCACGCGTTTCTGAGTTTTCTGCACTTCCGTATAGACGGAGGGACCCGGGTAGAAAGCAAGCTAGGAGAGGGAGGCTAAGAATGACGGGGCTGGAAGGGCCGTCACGGTGCCCCTCGTTTTCAAGAAGGGGAAACTGAGGCCCAGGGAGGAGAGTGACTTTCACAAGGTCACAGCAAGATCACGGCAGAGGTGGCCCCGGACCCAGCCCTCTGTGCCCCAGTGCCATGGGATCTCCACACCCACCACCCCCCCCACAGTTTCCTAGAATCAGGGATGTTAGTGTAAGTCTACACATGGGAATTTACAGGGGGTGGGGGGTCACCTTTTGCCTTGAAATTCGAAGTCAGTAGCCCAGTATCCCCTTCCTCCTCCTCCCTCCTCCCCCTCCTCTCTGGCAGGGCTCCCTCTCTCAGGGGAGAACGCCAGAGCCAAGACTGGTGATGCCAAGGCTGGTGACATGCTGGCTGGGGGCGAATCCAAATGAAGGTGCAGATACCCTCCTGTGCACCACGTCTGAGCTTGGGGACATGAACCCATTTTCCCTAGAAAAGAAACATGGCCCATTAGAGGGGGGAGCCCGGGGTGAATCTTCATGCCCAAAATAGTGCCCGGTGGGGAGGAGGCGCCTGCTTCTTGTTGAGTAAATGACCTGTGGAGACTGGAGCCTCATGTCCCTGGGTTGGGGGGTGTCCGAGACCACAGGGACAAGGGGAGCACCCTGGGTCACGCAGGAGTGGAGCTGTCCCCTCTCTCGCCACCTGCCCCTCAGACCCAAAGCTCCCTCCCCACCTGCCTGCCCACCTGCGGCTTCTGGGCAGCCCCCAACCCCAGAGGCCACCCTGCAAGTTGTCATCAAGGTCCTGCTGGAGATGGGATCCACGGCGGGGGGCCATGACTCCGGGACCTTGCCACAGCCCCCACTCCTCTGCTGGCCATCTGTAGGGGTGCCGCTGTGGGGGCTTTTGTCCTGCCGGCCACCCCCCCACACACACACCTATCCCTGGCCAGCAGCCCACCTGCAAGCGTCAGGCACACAGGGACAGACACGGCGAGCACAGCCCAGGCCCGGGGCCCACGAGCAGCATGGACCCCTGGGAACGGCCCTCCCCCTTAGCTCACAGTGCCTGCAGCAGCCACGCTAGGCCTCTGGCCCTCCTTGACCACTCCATTTAATTCTCTCTGCTGTTTGGGTAGGGTTTTCCCCTTTAGTTATTTGTGGTTTTCCTGTATTTTATGTTAATATTTCTATTAAGAACATTTTGGGCAAGTGGACCCAAGCCACTGGGAAGGAAGTGGCGTCTGGTAGAGCCTGATGCCTCCCGTCCGCGCACGGCGGAGATCCGTGCGCAGGCCCATGGCTGTCCCTGGCCGTAAATTCCGAGGGTCTGCAAAGGTGACGTTCAGGTAGACATGGGGGCCTGGGAACGAGGCCGTCAGCTCCCGTGCACAGAACAAAGAGGCAATGCATTCCTTCTCATTTTTCCTTTTTAAAAATCGATGAATCATTTGTGATGCTTTTAACAAAGATTAAATGAATTTGATCAACTTTTGCCTTATTGTGAAGATACTTCCCTTGCTTCCCTGAATGCACGCGGGCACATACATAGGCCCCTAGGATCTTGGTCCCAAAGACGGGGTGGCTGAGGGCCTCGTGCCAGGAACAAGGAGCAGGCTCGGCACGGGGGGACGTCACAGGAGGCTGCACGTGGCGGTGGCTTCAAAGTACTGCCGCCCCCAGGCAGCTCTCAAGCACTTGCACACACGCTGGCCTGTTCGGTCCCTCAAGGCCGGCAGAGGGGAACCAGAAGCGTTGGCCAATTTTCCAGAAGGGAAGCAGAGACCCCTGGGGGCTTGAGGGCATGTGTGCAGCACAGCCCCCTTCCGAGGGGATTCCCTTATTTCTGAACTGCCATTTGCTTTAGTCTTTGAGGTGACAGAAGGAGGCATGGACTCCTCTATCCCAGTGGATGCTCCAGACTCAGAAACTGCGTTCACTATAGCTAGCAACTGAGCGTCCACACCTTCTCTGAAACATCAACTGTAATAGCTGGAAACGAACACTCTCTTCTCACTCGTCTTACATGGTTAGAGAGAGATTGATGAACGTACTTTACAGATGCGTTCGCATTTGCTAACTGGTCCCCAAGCCGTTTCTGGAAAGAACGAGTTTGCAATTGCCTAGTGACTGCTCTGCGGGGGAGAGCTGGCAAGGGGCTGACGGCGGACGCCCTGGCATGCGGAGAGCTACTGCTCTGAGGAGGCCTTTCCCCTGCCACAGACATCCCCAGATATGTCCAGCTTGCACATGCAACGTTCACGTGAAAGTTTTTTCAGAGCTGTAATAAAACGAGGCATTCTTTTCACAGCAGGTGATGATGATTCTGTTTCTGACTTGCACCCAAGTCAGTACAGGGTGGGGGGAGCAGGGATGCGCCCCCACGTGTGACCACTGAACCATGTCCAGTTGGGGGGGAATGAAATAGACCCACTAAGGTGGGGTAAAGTGGCACCTCTCATGTACGTGCGCACGCGCACGCACACACACACACACACACCCCTCCTTCTCTGGGTCATGGCATGTTCTTGTGGAGTAGAAACTGTGGTTTTCAACATCAACGTCCTCAAAACTTCCTGCCGGGTCTCATGCCTGTTTGAATTTGTGCCAGGCTCTGGGCTGGGCTCTGGGCCCGGGGCAGCAAATGAATGCAGCCAGGCCCCTGGACTTTGAAGGAGACTCAGGTTGGGTGAGGTGGACGATGACTGCACAGCTCAACCAGGGAGGACCCGGCCCAGCTAAAAATCCGCAGTTCAAAGCCATGGTGGAGCTTGGCGCAGGGGGACTGCAGGTGCTGGTGAGAAGAGCAGAGGAGCCGGATGTCCAGGGCTGGTCCAGTGCAAAGGCCAGCCCAGGGGGGTGTGCGTGTGCTTGTGCGTGTGACCAGGGACAGAGAGAGAGTGTGAACACAGCAGTGCACCTCGGAGCCCTTTGCATGTGGCCATTGTATTCCCTTGTGCTGACTGCCAGGACTCAGGGAGGAAGTGAGAATCTGTCAGACCCCGTTTGACGATTTCCATTCCCACTTCAGTGCGCCAGGCCCTGTCCGTGTCTTCTCCCTGGGAAAAGCTACTGAGTGTGGTGAAAGCTTCATGCTCCCACAGCATCCATCTGGAAGCTTTTGCTGGAATGATCTGGCAGCAGGCAGCTGTGTAGACGACAGAAAGGCCCACAATAGAGCTAATGAAGATGTCACCTGTTCGGATGACCGAGCTAACCGGGGCGTCACCTGTTTGAATGACAGAGCTAACGGGGGCATCACCTGCTCAGATGACCGAGCCAATGGGGGTGTCACCTGTTCCGGTGACTGAGCTAACAGGGGTGTCACCTGTTTGGATGACCAAGCTAACGGGAGCATCACCTGTTAGGGTGACCAAGCTAACGGGGATGTCGCCTGTTCCAGTGACCGAGCTAATGGGGGTGTCACCTATTCCAGTGACCGAGCTAACAAGGGCATCACCGGTTAGGGTGACCGAGCTAATGGGGGCATCACCTGTTGCAGTGACGGAGCTAATGGAGGTGTCATCTGTTCCAGTGACTGAGCTAACAGGGGCGTCACCTCTTCCGGTGACCGAGCTAACAGGGGCATCACTTGTTAGGGTGACCGAGCTAATGGGGGACATCACTTGTTAGGGTGACCGAGCTAACGAGGGTGTCACCTGTTTCTGTGACCGAGCTAACGGGGGTGTCACCTGTTAGGGTGACCGAGCTAACGGGGGCATCACCTTGTTCTGGTAACCGAGCTAACGGGGGCATCACCTGTTCCGGTGACGGAGCTAACGGGGGGCGTCACCTGTGACCGACCTAACAGGGGCATCACCTGTTTGGATGACCGAGCTAACAGGGGCATCACCTGTTAGGGTGACCGAGCTAACGGGGTGCGTCACCTGTTAGGGTGACCGAGCTAATGGGGACGTCACCTGTTCCGGTGACCGGCCTAACAGGGGCATCCACCCGTTCCAGTGACGGAGCTAACAGGGGCGTCACCTGTTAGGGTGACTGAGCTAACGGGGGCATCACCTGTTCCGGTGACCGAGCTAACGGGGGCGTCACCTGTTCGGGTGACTGAGCTAACAGGGGCATCACCTGTTCTGGTGACCGAGCTAACAGGGGCGTCACCTGTTCGGGTGACCAAGCTAACGGGGGCATCACCTGTTTGGATGACCGAGCTAACAGGGGCGTCACCTGTTAGGATGACCGAGCTAACAGGGGCATCACCTGTTCCAGTGACCAAGCTAATGGGGCGTCACCTGTTCCAGTGACAGAGCTAATGGGGGTGTCACCTGTTAGGGTGACCGAGCTAACAGGGGCATCACCTGTTCCAGTGACTGAGCTAACGGGGGCGTCACCTGTTCCAGTGACGGAGCTAACAGGGGTGTCACCTGTTCCGGTGACGGAGCTAATGGGGGTGTCACCTGTTTGGATGACCGAGCTAACGGGGGCATCACCTGTTAGGATGACGGAGCTAATGGAGGTGTCATCTGTTCCAGTGACTGAGCTAATGGGGGCGTCACCTCTTCCGGTGACCGAGCTAATGGGGCATCACTTGTTAGGGTGACTGAGCTAACGGGGGCGTCACCTGTTTGGGTGACCGAGATAACGGGGGCATCACCTGTTCCAGTGACAGAGCTAACGGGGGGGGTCACCTGTTCCAGTGACGGAGCTAACAGGGGTGTCACCTGTTTGGATGACCGAGCTAACAGAAGCGTCACCTGTTCCGGTGACCAAGCTAATGGGGGTGTCACCTGTTCCGGTGACAGAGCTAATGGGGGCATCACCTGTTCCAGTGACCGAGCTAACGGGGGCGTCACCTGTTCCGATAATCAAGCTAACAGGGGTGTCACCTGTTTGGATGACCGACCTAACAGGGGCATCACTTGTTCCGGTGACCGAGCTAACGGGGGCGTCACCTGTTAGGGTGACTGAGCTAACGGGGGCATCACCTGTTCCAGTGACCAAGCTAACGGGGGCGTCACCTGTTCCAGTGACCGAGCTAACGGGGGGCGTCACCTGTTCCAGTGACCGAGCTAATGGGGGCGTCACCTGTTTGGGTGACCGAGCTAACGGGGGCATCACCTGTTAGGATGACGGAGCTAATGGGGGCGTCACCTGTTTGGATGGTGGCAGCAAAGCATGCCCATTGCTCTGCGATGGAAACCCGCCACACGCCACTGTTTGACCTCCTCTCCAACCTGAGCTTCATGCGGACAGGGCAGGTACAAGCAGCCGGGTCACAGATGAGGAGACCACGGCACCCCGGTGTCTGAGAAGGGAGCAACAACTTTTAACTAAAATGTGAGGCATCGCTTGAAAGCTCCAGCTAATCCCCAAATTCTAGGTAGCCTTGAATTTAGTGTCCAGAGTCATTTGAGAAACAACTAATCTCAACGGAACAGGAAGAAAGATGGAATGTCACGGACACATCGTGTCGTGAAGACAAAAACCGCTCATCTCAGTGATCTGACATGCTCATTCCTTTGGTTCAGTGGGGGAAAGAGAAATGGCTGATGGTGGAGGACTCCAGTCACCAATCAGCGGCTGCTCCCAAGGCCTCCTTACAGCAGGGCAGTTGGCCACCAGGGCTGTCCGGTGGCTCTCGGGAAAGGGGCATTCTGTGTGCCCAGCAGGCCCAGAGAAGGGCAGCAACCTCATTTCTCAGTCATGTGGCCCCAGAGGCCCCTTTCTGTGGCACACCCTCCAGAGGACGCCCCAGTAGCTCCAGCCCCAGCATGCAGGGACATGCCCCCAGAAGGTACTGTGGGGACATTGCTTCCGAAGCTGCTGTCAGGACCAGCACCTGTTCCCATGGGGATTTGTGCAAAGTCGGGACTGGTGGCCCAGAGGATGTGGCCCTTGGCATCTGGAGCCACTGGCACTCCCGGTGATGCCTGGGACTTTCCCCCGTCCAAGACACACAATGTCACCGAGCACCAACACAAGGCGAGGCCACTCCAGGATCAAGATGAGTCAAGACAAAAGTGAGACCCCTGTGCCATCAGACCACACAGGAGCATTGTCCAACCCCCAGAAACGTGTAGACGCCTCTCCCTGGCTGAGATGGTGAGGGCTGCTGTGTCTCTGGCTCCTGCCTCCCCTGAGGCACCCCTCCCTCTAGAGAAGATTGATTGAGACACCTGATCCTAGCATGACCCCGCTCCTCACAGCCCTCAATCCAGAGCCGAGCCTGGCTTCCTTGAGTCCTGATCCAAATCACCTCCCACTGCCCACACCTGACAATCAGGCCCTTCTAACCACTCTGAGAAGCCCAGGTTCACTCGCGGCACTGCGTGATAACCCAGCTTGCTCAGCTACAGGTGAGCTCTGGGGTTCCAGGCTGGGGGGCACTGGCAGAGTCCTTTTTTAGTGGGGCAGGGTGGCACTGGGGAGGAACCAGTGTCTGCACACGGGCAGTACAGACCCCTCAGCAGGAGCCCATGCCAGTCCGAGCTCAGTTCCAACAAAAGCGGAGAGACACAGCCACCCTCCAGCCAC